GGCTTACACTTTGTTTTTATCGCCAGTATTATACGACACGTACCTATAAGATAAGAAAGACTGAATAAATATTTGTTTTTTAATTTTTCAACAAATAGGTAACACATAATGTATAAAATATAATTAGTTAGTTATCTGTTATTCATAAATTATAAAAGCTATTTTGAAATAAGCCCCCTTTGATTATAGAAAAATAAGTAATTAATCAATGAACAAAAGATTTACAACGTTAATAGAAATATACAATTCACAAAACATTTAAACAAGGTAACATGAAAGATATTATACAATGCCAATATTTCTATGTGTCAGTCCAATGCTCAATATGTAATTTTGTGAAAGTAATAAATATAGCTCGCATCTGCCGACTTTCACTATATTAAGGACGCACCTTATCGTGTCCGTTATAGCTTGCGTTAACTCGCAAGTAGTCTTATGTCTGCGCATTTGAGTGCCAACTCTTGGCAAAGGTTGCAGATTCGATTCTTGTCAAGGACAAACAATTTAAAAGTGCTTGTAGAAGCCTAATTATGAATGTCATTCTATACTATAGGTATAATGTTGTAAATATTGATACTGATATTTATGGGATGGAGAGTAGGTACACAGATACCTATATTGAACTAGTGATTTACCATTGCTTCCTTCAGTTGCGTGATGATGACGTTCAATAGTACCTACTTGTATAATTACAGTAGATATATGTATATATGTACATACTTACATATATCGACCTAGTGATAGAATCTTCTAGCCCAAGAACAGAATGGCGGTTAAAAAAATACGACACCTAAGTACCTACCTGTACGATAATTTAAACTATTTAGATGTACCTAACTATTAGGTATAACTGTCAATTTTGGAAAACTTATCCCAATGCGAAGGTTACCTACATACTGAGGTACCTAAAACAATAATTTTTTATTTTACAATACATAACAGATTTCATAGATTTCTTTACACGAGCCAACAAAGTTTTCACTTAGGTATAAGTACTCGTACATATTTGATATTAACACTGAGTGAACTTTAATTTCATTAAATAATAATATTAGGTTGAAATGAAGAATTTCAATATTGATATAATGTGGTGACGGTTTAAATATCCGTCTTTAACCTGGAGGTCGCAGATTCTTGTCCTGAATTACCTATATTAAATGAATAATTTTTTTTATGATGATCATTGTTAATTACATATATTTGATGATATCCATACCTACTAATATTATAAATGTGAAAGTGTGTTTGTTTGTTTGTCCTTCTTTCACGTCGAAACGGAGTGACGGCTTGGCGTGATTTTTTGTGTGGAGATAGTTGGAGGGCTGGAGAGTGACATAGGCTACTTTTTACCGCGGGAGATTATTTAATTCATTTAATTCACACGAAAATACACGTTATAATATACAATCCAAAAAAATAATTTTGTACAAAATTACTTGAAACTTGGTATTAATACTCTTCAATACAATTAAATAAATACGTGTTTTATCATTTTTCGAAATTCATCCTACAAGGAGGTCAAATAGGAGATGAAAGTTTGTAATAAACTACCTTTTTAGAGATTTTTTTGTACATTTAGCGTGAGCGAAGCCGCAGGTTCTGCTAATATTTATATATATTTGGACTATTAACTCACATATTATTCGCAACTCGATATAAGTACAAGCAGCTATTAACCTCCAACATGTAATTACATTTATAATTTCTCATTTTGCGACTCCACTTTTAGTTAACACATATTGAACTTAAAGCTTAAAAAACAATAAAAAAAATCAATATGGCTCATATTTTTTTCAGTCCTTTATTATCTCTCCATACCAAGTCCTTCTAAATTAAATATTAAATTAATACACATTAAATTTAATATTACGTTTTAATATAACAACTTTATACTTATCAATCATTGATATTATGCGATACTGATACTTATCCCCAAATCAGTCCCTATCTCGGCGAGATAAACTCCATTGGATGCTGCAGCCACGCCTCTCATCTCCAAGCGGCCAATCAGCGCGGACGATATCGTTATATAAATAAACTGTGTTATACTTGTGATTATTATCTAATATTTTTTTAAATAAAACCGTAAAGTTGTAGAATTATTTTTAAAGGATGTTATAGAATTAATTTGTGTACCTACCTACCTACTGACATTAAATCATATAAAAAAATGTTCTAAAATTGTAGGTTTGACAAGTAAATTTATATTAAGCAAATTAAGTGGGGTTTTATTTGACAATCACAGACATTTAAAAAAATATATAACAGCAATGATAGTTACCTTTTTTTTGGATGATGCGTAGTTTGTTGGTATGATTTCAAATGCTTACTTATGTTATAGGTAGGTAATAAATAGGTAGGTAGGTATAATTAAATATATAAAAATAATAATTTACAATTAGCGTTACGTAGGTAGGTATTTTATACAATAGACAAAGAGTGTAAAGATTCATATTAAACTTAATAGTAGGGTTCTTTATGTAAATGAGGATTTTTTGAAATACTGTAAAAAGTTATTAAAAGTTTGAGAGTAGAGTTTTTTCTAGCTAAAAGCTACTTGCACAAAAAAGCCTAAAATGTTTCACAATTTGTACTTTAATTAAGAAGTGTATTAGGTATATAATCTGAAATATATTATTTTCTAACAAATCTTGATGTCATATAATGACTACATAGCCAGTTATGGTTGGGTAGGCAAAAAGGTACAAAAAAAGGTAAAATAACTTTACAGATCGCAAGAAAACTTACTAAAGAATAAAGGTTTCAATAAAATATCTTACAAATAAACTAAAACACTAGTGCAGTGGATTTTATTTAGTTTACGTTAAAACATACCTAGGTTAAAACAATAAGAGTACTACCTGTTATAAACACGAAAGTTTGTTCAAGTTGACGCTGTTTATTTATCATATAACAAAATTAAGTATTTAATATTTTTTTCTTGTTCTTGAATACGAAACTACTATAATCCATACTAAAATATTGTAAAATATGTGAAAGTAACTCTTTATTGTATGTTACCTATTCACACTTGAACCACTCGTCAGATTTCGATAAAATTTGGCAAGAACATAGATAGCATTATGGGAATGGATATAGGCTACCTTTTGTCGCCCCATAGCTCTCCATTGCAGTGGAGCTGGATAAGAAATCATATACCATACATTTTTTAAGAGAAATCCTACTAGTACTAGTAATTCCAAATGCCAATATGGCATTGGGAAATGCAAAACTACAATATTTTAACATTCTATTCAGGTATACAGGGTGGAACAAATCGATGGGACACCGAAGAAAAGTACCTAAAATATTGAAGTTATCAAGATTTACTCAAATGAAACATTTATTTATTTTTTTAAATAATAATACTGCATTCATTTTTCTATGTGTGGGTCTATGGAAAGGATAAAATCTCTCGAACAAACATTGCGTCTTAGAATTGAAAAAAACGATGAAATTTTACAAATACTTAGGTACAACAAATTATACTTACATATCAACTCTAAAATCGTGGAACAAACGCACAGGACGTGGAAGAAAAGTGTCTTAAACACTCAAAATATTAAGTTTCACTCAACGGAAACATTATTTTATTTAAAAAATTAGATTAACTGCATTTAACGTTTTTTAAAAGAGGTGACCTGGACCGGTAATTGAACCAACAGAAAATGCAAAAAGGTACACCGTCACTATTTTATCGAATTAATGGTTAGTCTATGGTAAGGATGAAATGTCTCGAACGAAAATTGTATGAAAACGATGAAATCTTACAAATAGCACATATCGAATGGTACGGAACCCCGTACCATCGTACATGTACTTTTTATTAATATGACTTTTACTCTATGTATGTACTTAGTAGGTATATTAACCTCGATGGTCGATATCGATTAACGTTTAAAAAAAATGTTTCTTATATTTTTATTTATTTTTATTCTTTGTTATTATATTATTTTGTTATTATATAGTAATAGGGCTCCGTGGGCACCCTTCGGATACGAAACCCTAAAAAGTAGGTACCCATGTATTAAAGAATTCTAGTTGGAAATATTTACTATTTCTAAGTTATAAGTGCATAGATAAGTAATATAGATATAAAATATTATCTAGCGTTTTTTGAATAACATTGATTGAATTTTAATAAGTAGGTACATCAAATTTTAAATTACCAAATGATATTTTATTCTTACAATACAATTTTATAATTACTTTATCATTGCCTATATTTTTAATTAGTGATTTAATCAGTCACAGGAATACAGGTAGCGCCATCTATGTGACGTGTAAGAAAAATAAATAATAATATAGTAACTAATAGGTATGATAGTATTGTAGACATATATTTCAATCAAAACAGGTAAATACTAATGTAATTTTATTATTTATCTTTTACAATAATTATCTCATTTAAATTTTGTGCATTCATTTTAAAATTATAAAATGAAAGATTTTAGCGACATCTAGTGATGAATAGCGTATCTAAAAACATCTAAATTTTAATAATATATTTATAATATACATTTAATAATTAATATTTAAAAAATAAAATTTAGACTAATTTAAATGTATATATAAAATAGAGTAGGGATTGGTACGCTTTTTTTTAAATTAAAAGATGATATTATTGTTATTTATGAATTTTATTTCCGGTAAAAAAAAAACACTTTTTTATGTACGTCCTTTATTTTAATTTATGACTAAAAAGTAAAATGTAATAAAGTATTAATTGCCTATTAGATTCACGTAATATTTTTTAAATACACATTTTAGCGCTTAAGAAATAATGAAATTAAAAATATATTCATTGACTCGATATATTTTATTGGCTATCTTAAGCGTATCACGCACAAGTTTCAACATTCAACAGTAATTACTAATTTCGATTTTGGAAGTTTAATGCCTGGGAATAGATTCGTATTTTTTTTTGTATTTTATCTCTATTACCTATCATATTAAATTTATACAAAAACATTTTATTTTAATATAATTTTACATACAAAATGACAACAAACACCGGTATTTATCATTGGAAATTAGGAGATATAGCCCTTGCTAGAATATGTAAAAAAGTTTACGCAAAAGTGCAAGTGGTGAAAAACGAAAAGGGATTGTTTCACGATGAGAAAGGTAAGTATATTATTTCAAAAATTAATAACTATAGAAGATATATTCAATATTAGGCAATTAATAAAAGAAAATATTTTTTTAACTTTTACTTACCAGTTTGACCTTTCTTTTTCACATTTTATGAATAATTATCCCAGTAATCTCTAAACTAATCAACCGTATAAAAACTACTTCGTCTCCCTACACATGTTAAATTTCATCATTGTCGTTTAGTTGTGGCCTTATGAATTAACAGCCACTGTATTTAACAGTCACTGTATTTAAATATGGTTAGGCAATATTTACTTAGGTTTATGATGTTATTAAAATAGAATGCTAAATCTTATTGGAACCTTGCATTTATATCATGATTATTATCCAATAATAACAACTTGTGATGTTGGTGAATAAACATGCTTTGTCTTTAATATCATATTCTTGATAAATATAATCAAATTTAATTAAGTTAATTTCAAGATACATTTTTATAGACTTTATATATATATTTTCATTTAAGTATATTACTCAGTTTTAGGGATTTCAGCAGATGAGACTGGATTAATAATAACGACACAACTCTGTTACTATGTAGAGATCATTCGGACTAAGCAAAGACTATGGCTCCCATACACTTGCATGCACTTAGCATCTCGTTCCAGACCCTTTTATGGACCAGCTATTAAAGAGGCTATTACCAAACCTACAGTAAAATCTGGCCCTCGAAAGGTACCTGAATGTTAAAGTATACAATATAAATAATATATAAATAATAAATATAATTTTATTATTAATACTAAAAATTGCAAAAATTCTTGCCTCAATATAATATTGCTATTAAGACAGAATTATTGTAAGCTAATTTGTTATGTATAACAAATATCTATTTACCTATTTAAGTATTATTATGAACTACTATGCTTAATTATATTAAATTTAAATAAAAAAAATATATATTTATTGGAACAAATTTAAATTACAGAGAAAAATCATAGAGGACCACATTTTACCACTTAACGTGAAACCTTTAAGGCATAAAGTACCTGATCTTAATATTTCATATGAGATCCGACAAATGCCTTTAAGACAGAGCAAATATGAAAATGCATTTAAAGAGTTTGTGAGACTCGGTAAAGAACAACTTTTTGATCATTTCTATGAAATTTTTTGCCTTGAAGATAATGGGGATATAATTGATTATTTACAAAATGTTAATGCGAGCACTGAAGATAAGTTTGAAATGGTCATTAAAAATGTGGTGACCGAGAAGGAAATAGACAATTACTTACATCAGTGTTGGAGATACAATTATGTGCACAAACAAGTGGACACTAAAGATAATTCAGAGTATTCAGTAAGTGCAGTATTATTGTTTTTAAAAACAAAAAAATATATATTTATTAATATATCATATTTACAATTTTATTTATAAATTTTATTTTCTTGAAAGAAAATAAGATTATTCTAGAACACTTTAGACACAAACTTTATTTTAAATTTATATTAGTGTAAAAACTTAGTTTTTGTTCTCATTCAGCTATTTTAGTATTGCACATAATGTAATATAACATATTCATTAATATTAAATATTTGTTTCTTTTTATTATTTATATTTTTTTAATTATTTATATTTTTTTTATTCAGAAGTCTTCATCATCAAACAAACAACCCATAACAGTACACATTTCATGGTGTCTAGTTTGTGGCGAGGCTGAGAAGTTAAGGGAATGCACAAATTGCCCATCATCCTTCCATCTGGCTTGCAGACGAGAATGGCTGGTCTCCATAATCCGTGAGTATTTTTTAAGTAGCCATTGCTTCTGGGTTCGCTAATATTTTAGTAACAATATTTTTTGATCAACAAAGGTATACTAAATTTGAAATTAGTCGAAAAAAATTATTCCACTGGGTATATAGGTGTTCCATGCAGCATATTCGATATTTACCAAACACTTGAACTGTCAGCTTTGTTCAGCATCCCTAGTATTAGAGTAATTGAACTTTATCTATGGCTTACCCTGGAAAAATGAGCGATCGCATAACGGTCATAAAAGGATAGGTATGTTACATACATACATACATAAATACATATTACATCTTGTGTATATTTTGCTCAGTTGGAAAAAACGTTGGAGATTTTTGGTTCTGGTTTCGTAGAGGACCATTTTCCCGTATACTGAAGCGTTAAGATATTTGTTTTGTTTGTGGACTTTGCCTTTTACGACACCCTCATCCTTCGATGTCGATGTTTTCTTAAGCAGGACAAGGCGAAGTAACAAATGTTGTGCTAAAAATTAGTTTTGTATTTGCGATATACATTAAATTACGACTAACTACTAATTTAATTATACTATAAAAGACTTACTATAAAAACATATGAGAAATGATTTTTTTTCTTTTTAAATTTCGTAAAATGTAATGTTTACGGTAAGTTAATATTTGTGTTAATGTAAAGTTTTAAGGTAAATATTTTAATGGTATTTTTTTAATTTGTATACTGCTATGACCAAGGTAAAAGATTTCGGGAAAAATAAAAATATATATAGTGGGTTCCACTGGGTTATTACCTACGTAACGGTAACGACCTTAGCCGCTAAAATAGAATTTTCATCCATTTTCTTCATTCGAAGCTTGTTGTAGTTGATCATAAGAAAACCGAAAAATTGTGCATTAAAAGACCCGTGCCTAAAAGTGGGACTTTGAAAGACTTGCATTTTTATAAATATTACTAGCGGCGAAGACAAAAACAAACCTATGCCACGGTAACCGTACATTTTATCCAGATAAAAAGTAGCCTATGTGTTATTCCAGACTATAATCTATCTCTGTGCCAAATTTCATCCAGAACTGTTGTTCTGGCGTGAAAGAGTAACAAACATACATCCATATTCACAAAGTTTCACATTTATAATATTAGTATAGATTTTTCACAAGCCTAATTTTTACAGGACTTATTTATTATGCGTTGAGCAAAAAGCATATTAGTTAAATAGCGCCAACTAGTGGCAGTATCAGTAAAACACATTTTACTGACTACAACTAGATGGCGCTGCCCATAAATTCGCGGTTTCTGCATCGCGCTGTCTAGATTCCGGCGCGCACAATGACCACGCAGAGCCGCGACAGCTCGGGCATCGCTTCTCGGCCTTTTGGCTAAGATCAAAGTGTAGTATCTGTTCTTTTCAGCTTAATATCTGAAAGTTCCCGCACTGCGGGACCAGTATATTAAACTGATTTTTGTGACTCGGCGGGATGTTCGGGGCTCGCTCCACTCCCGCCACGGGTCGGCCCGGCATTGCAGTGCCGCCGGGATCGGCCCACATTATCTAACTATATCTTCGACAGCTTAGCAGGAAAAGCAAATGTTACCGACTTTAGATATTTTTAGTATTCAATAGAGCGGATATGTGTAAATATTATATATAATAGACCACGAAACTATATATATTATGAATATTTTGGTATCTCAAATGACACTTTCCGCTCAGAATTAAATAGTTATTTTATTAAGAATATAGATATTATTTTGACTCGAAATTGAGGATAATAAGCGTCGGAAAACAATTGCCATCCGTTGCCTAGATAAGAAATAACAATGTGTGTTAACAAATAAATAATAGTTACAATATAAAAAGTCTTTAAATTACAATTCTAGTTTATAAAATTAATAAGGCAAAGAGTAGAGCTGAAAAATAAATATTGTGCAGTCTGAGACTACAGGTTTCTGCGAAGAAGGCGTTTAACATCTCAGAAGTGGGATCGCACTGAGATATTATATTATTTCGGTGTGATCCCTCTCTGCCCACATCAATAAAAAAGAGGACGTGTAAGAGTATGAAATAATAATATTTTCCCTTTTCTTTAAAGATTCATATAAGGATAATTTTTTTTACCCTCTCTTTTTTTTTTTTTTTTAAATGAAATTGTAAGGTTTTGTCATATAAAAATAAAGGATAGTTATTAATTATACCAATTTAGATATGATTGTTATGGTCACATTTTGATAGGTATCAAAATCACATTTTTTTTTAATATATTTTAATTTAATATTATTATAGTATGTTCGTAGACATAATATGTAAAAGAAATGTAAATGGAATTTAATGAATTAGTTCGATACCTATCCTATGAAAGTAACATTTGAGTAGTTTTAATATTAAAACAATTTTTTTTTAGATTATTATCTTTATTTGGAGTATAGTTTCATGTCATTTATATATTCGTTTTTGTGTCTTTTTGAGGTTAACTACGGTAATGCCTAAACGAAAGAAAAGAACACAGTCTACTGAGAGTGACTCTTCACTAAGTAGTGGTCACTCTCGCCACCGCAGGCATACAAAGAGTGGCAAGAGTAGCAAGAGTAACAGGCGCCACCGATCAAGGCACCGTAGTCGTAGCGGTGCCAGGCGTTTAAGGCACCATGGTCGCGACGAAACGAGACGGCCGCGACGCTCGCGGAGTGTAAGGTCGTATACTCCTGTCATGCCCCAGGCATCCACGGGCGTGGTGCATACGGCTCATATGGCGCAGACTGCTGCTTCACCAGGCGTGACTCCAGTTGCTACAGACCTCACAGGTGAATCAAGGTATGCGGATACTCAGCGATTATTTTTCGAACAGTTTATTAATGTAATGCAAGGTATTAAGGACAAAGGTACTGTAGAACGTGACAAATTCCCAGTTCTTAATAATGTTGTACCCGAATTTGATCCACTTTGTAAAGAACAAACAATTGATTCATGGATTCATAAAATAGAAGAATGTGCTCAAATATATAGCTGGGACGAGAAGCAAATCGTTCACTATGCTTTGCCAAAACTTACAGGGATAGCGAAGTCATGGTATCAGGGGTTGTCATCGCTTTTATTATCATGGGCTGACTGGAAATTTAAGCTTAAAGAATCTTTCCCATCGCGAGAAAATTATGCTGAACTTCTCACCGAAATGTTAGGCAAAAAGGCTCGATACGGTGAATCGCTCGAATTGTATTACTATGCCAAAATGAATCTTTTAAATCGTTGTGATATTAAAGGTAAACAGGCCGTTGACTGCTTAATTTTCGGTATCGAAGATAGGGGAGTCCGATTAGGCGCGCAAGCCGTAGAGTATACGGAACCGGAACAACTTCTTAAATATTTAAAAACTATACGGGTAGGGCAAGATAGGAACACCTCGAATGATATACGTAACAAGGATAAGGACAAACGTGCTCATCCGCACGGTGGCCCAAATTCTTTGATTGACAAGACGACTAACCATAAAAACACTAATTATACTCATATAGTCTGTTATAACTGTAACGAAACAGGACACACCTTCTACCGTTGTCCAAAACCCAAATTGCAATGTACGAACTGTAATTTCAGAGGCCACCTTGTCTCTAATTGTCCAAAGAAAAATCAAAATAGCAGTGATGAAACTAAGAAAATTTTAAGAATTGAAAGTTACCAGAATTCTAGTTTAAAATACAAAATTCCCTTAAAAATTAACGACAAAATTTCGGATTGCTTAGTAGATTTGGGTTGTGAAACTACGCTCATACGACTTAGTGATGCACAACGGTTGCAAGTTAAATGGGAGCCGGTAGAAGGGCCTATACTTTCTGGATTTGGCAACACGCGTTTCCGTCCCATAGGTTTAGCTTTCGCAAATATTGAGATTCAGGGAGTCACTGAGGAAAATGTTGAAATACTTATAGTCGATGACTTGCACATTAACAGCCCAATTCTCCTAGGACACACATTTACAGAAAGACCAACCATTCAAATAATTAAAACTGACACTGATATAATTTTTCGAAAAGTGAACAACAATAAAACCAGTAAATGTGTACTAAAATGTATCAAAGACGTTACTATTCCAACTGGAAACATCAAAGCCATACCTGTTTCTAGTGACGAAAGCTACTCGGGAAAGGTTTATGTAAATGGGTCTGTTAGAGCATATAAAAGTAAAGAGCATTATCTTTTACCAGGTGAATACTGTATTAGTGAAGGATTAGGAAGTGTTCTAGTACAAAATATTGGGGAACAATATATTACATTTAAATATGGCGACTTAATTACTCGAGCTTTCAAAATTGATGATATCTTGCAGATTAACCAAATTGAATTAACTGAATCTCTCTCAGATACATCACTAATTAACATTGGTAATACTATTACTGTTGAAGAAAAAAATAAACCTGAGTGTTTGCTACAAGAATATAAAAGTTGTTTCTCAAATAATCTAAGTGAACTTGGGTTTACAACAGAAACCGAAATGGTGATTCATCTGGTAGACTCCGAACCAGTTGTTTATCGTCCATATAGACTCTCTTTTTCCGAAAGAGAGCGCGTTAGAGGTATGGTACAAGAAATGTTAGATAATGGAATAATTCGTGAGTCTAGTTCTCCATATGCTAGTCCTATCGTGTTAGTTAACAAAAAGTCGGGCGAGAAAAGGCTTTGTGTAGACTATCGCGCATTAAACAAAAAGACTAAGCGGGAACATTATCCCCTACCTAGGATAGAAGACCAACTCGATCTTTTAGCTGGTAGCTCTCTTTATATAACTTTAGATCTTGCGTCGGGCTATTATCAGATCCCAATTGCTGAAGAATCGCGTGAAAAGACTGCCTTCGTGACACCCGATGGCCAATATGAATACAATCGCATGCCATTTGGGTTAGTCAACGCGCCCTCAGTATTCCAACGTACCATGAACAGAATTATACAAAAATCCCCCGTTCGTTCATATGTTCTTGTTTACATGGACGATATATTAATTCCGTCTAGCTCATTTGATCAAGGCTTAGTTAGACTAAGGGAAGTTCTTGACCTATTAAAGGAAAATGGTTTAACTTTGAAGCTAAGTAAATGCCACTTTTTCTACGATAAAATTGATTACCTTGGGTATGAGATTAGTTCTTCTGGTATACGACCAGGTTCTCTCAAGACTGAAGCCGTAGAAAAGTTCCCTACTCCGCGTAATATTCACGAGGTTCGAAGATTCTTAGGACTCGCAAGTTTTTTCAGACGGTTTGTTAAAAACTTCGCTTTAATAGCTCGTCCACTCACAGCTTTATTAAAGAAAGATATTCCGTGGAAGTGGGGTGAAAACGAAAGGGAATCATTTGAAACATTAAAATTGCGTCTTATAGAACGACCAATTTTGACTATATACAACCCAAGCGCGGAAACTGAACTTCACACCGATGCAAGTAAGTTTGGAATAGCCGGTATACTTATGCAAAAGGATGAATGCGATATATTTAAAGTAGTTGCTTATTACAGTAGGCAGACTAGCGTTGACGAGCAAAAACTACATTCATTCGAGTTAGAGACACTCGCAGTCATTGCTTCTTTAGCTAAATTCAGAGTCTATTTGTTAGGTATCAGATTTAAAATAATCACGGATTGTAATGCGCTACGTAGCACACTTGTCAAACGGGATTTAATTCCAAGGATTGCTCGCTGGTGGGTACAATTTTTAGAATTTGATTGCGAGATTGAGTATAGAGCCGGGGATAGGATGGCACACGTAGATGCCTTAAGTAGGAGTCCTGTAGGTACAATAACAAGTGATTGTCACGTAATTGATGTTCTCGCTGTTGATACGGATGACTGGCTTACTACTGTACAACAAGCCGATGATGAAGTCAAAAATATTGCAACCATTTTAAACGATCCAAAAACTAGAGATATAGTAGAAATTTTTAATAGTTATAAATTGAAAAATGGCCGAGTTTTCCGTATTGTCAACGACAACGCCGAGCGTTGGGTGGTTCCAAAGGGTGCAAGATGGCAGATATTAAAAAGTAACCATGATGACATTGGACATTTTGGATTTGAAAAGACGCTTGCTCGCATTCAGGCATTGTATTGGTTCCCTAAAATGAGGCGATTCGTTAAAAAGTATGTTGCAGCATGTCTGGAATGTGCCCACCATAAAACACCAAGTGGGCTTAAAGCAGGGGAGATGCATCCCATTCCCAAAGTTGAAAAGCCTTTCCACACGATCCATGCAGATCATCTCGGTCCTTTCATACGGACTCAGCGTGGTAATACTTATATCTTAGTAATTATTGACGCTTTTACGAAATTTATAAACCTTACAGCTGTTCGCAATACGAAATCTTCACAAGTATCAAAGTTTTTAGAGAACATTTTAGTTATTTTGGAACACCAACTCGTTTAATTACTGATCAGGGAACAAGTTTTACTAGTCATGCATTTAAGGCATTCATGAAATCTACGGGAATTAAGCATATATGTAATGCAGTAGCCACACCACGTGCAAACGGCCAGGTTGAGCGATATAATCGCACAATCTTGGCCGCACTTGGGGCCATGAATCATGATAAGCCGAACGGAAAATGGGATGAGCATTTACCGGATATACAGCTAGGCATTAATACTACTTTTAATGCTACTACTAAAAAGACTCCGACGGAACTTTTGTTCGGATATAACGTCACAAACCCTTCCCAGGGAATATTAAATGAAGTAATTTCGGATGTGACTCCAGATCTGACTGAAAATGACTTGACGCAACTAAGATCTGACGCTTCCCAAAATATACAGACGCAGGCAGAAAAGGCTAAGGATAATTTTGATAAACACCGAAAAAAAAATGTAGTATTTAAAGAGGGAGATTTAATCAAAGTCGTAAGGGCACCTACTGGTATAGAAGGACAGTCAAAAAAAAATTAGAGCCAAAATGTCAGGGTCCCTATCGTATTAAGAAACTTCTTCCAAATGATAGATTTGTGATCGAAGATACTCCAATCACAAGAAAGGGTAGACGCTATGAATCGATAGTGGCAATTGATAAAATATTCCCTTGGTTAAATTTTACTCATCAAATATCCTCTGATAATGAGAGCTCTTCTGATAGTGAATCCATGAATGATGAGGTAGATGTACCTAATGTTGCTAGCAATGTAAAAGAAAAATAAATAATAAATTATAATGATGTTAAATGACTTTACCTTATTAACATAATTACAAAGTTGCATTATTTTATAAATGATGAATGTTATGTCATGATAAAAGTCATCAAGTAAATAAATCTATATAAGTTTAATAATAATGTTAATTCAACAAATAATAACTTCGCTCGATGTCATGAATTGTTGTTATGATTATTATGTAATGTTATAATGTAAAGATGAAAAGCAACGGCGTAATATGTACAAATCAATGTCATGGATTTGTGCATCTCTGAGATGGCCAATGTCATGGGTCGTATCAGAGGCATATTGGTTGATTAATGTCATGGATCAACTAATGTGTTATTGTTCCGTCTTTTCTTATGAACTGTTGTTATGATTATTATGTAATGTTATAATGTAACGATGGAAAGTAACGGCGTAATATGTACAAATCAATGTCATGGATTTGTGCATCTCTGAGATGGCCAATGTCATGGGTCGTATCAGAGGCATATTGGTTGATTAATGTCATGGATCAACTAATGTGTTATTGTTCCGTCTTTTCTTATGAACTGTTGTTATGATTATTATGTAATGTTATAATGTAACGATGGAAAGTAACGGCGTAATATGTACAAATCAATGTCATGGATTTGTGCATCTCTGAGATGGCCAATGTCATGGGTCGTATCAGAGGCATATTGGTTGATTAATGTCATGGATCAACTAATGTGTTATTGTTCCGTCTTTTCTATAGAGGTTGATCAATGTCATGGATCAGCAAAATATAATTGTTTTTTTAGTTAAGTAGGAAAGATCAATGTCATGGATCTTTCGAATGAAATAGTTTGGAATTATATTGATTAAAGTCATGCTGATTGGATAGATATTTGTAAATTTATAAAAGATATACTAAGAATATAATATTTATGTATTATAATGTGAGGAATTAAAATTAAATTAGAATTAAGCTGGTTAAAATGAAAGGTTAGCTTTGTTGAATTTAGTATAGTTAAGAGTAATTATCGGTTATTGAATTTGTTTATTTTTGCTTTTCTTATGTTTTTTTTGTGTTATCTTTATTTATTACGAGGGACTCGTAAAGCTTTCGGATGGCCGAGTTGTTACCGACTTTAGATATTTTTAGTATTCAATAGAGCGGATATGTGTAAATATTATATATAATAGACCACGAAACTATATATATTATGAATATTTTGGTATCTCAAATGACACTTTCCGCTCAGAATTAAATAGTTATTTTATTAAGAATATAGATATTATTTTGACTCGAAATTGAGGATAATAAGCGTCGGAAAACAATTGCCATCCGTTGCCTAGATAAGAAATAACAATGTGTGTTAACAAATAAATAATAGTTACAATATAAAAAGTCTTTAAATTACAATTCTAGTTTATAAAATTAATAAGGCAAAGAGTAGAGCTGAAAAATAAATATTGTGCAGTCTGAGACTACAGGTTTCTGCGAAGAAGGCGTTTAACACAAAAATCTTACAACTAAATAATTTGTTTAAACTTTAAACGTATGTTATCTGTAATACATTAAACACGTCGGAATTCAACCAGCCCTGGTGCCCTGCTACACTCAAACGCGATAATTATTTAACTAAGTGACAGAAGTTCTAAACACGACTGATTTGAATTTTGTGTTTCACACGAGAGACGAGACCTGTCTTTTTTCATCTCACAAATCTTGCTACGTAAAAACAGGTAATAAATTAATAATTAATAGGCTATCCAAATACGAAAAAGCGCTATAAATGATCCTAGAGTATATTGAATATAAACTCTAAATCGGATAAACCTTTTCTGAGATTAGCATGCACAAACGCGCAAACAAACAGAAAAAAATCTAACAATCATTGTTTTAGGTGCTACTTGCGTTGATAAAGGTCCCAATAATATTTTTTGTCATATATCTTCCATGTACAGACAGAGATCCGTTATATTTTTATTATAAGTATAGCTTACCAAACACTGAAAAAAAAAACTGAGATATTGTCGTTCCTTACTCTGCTACATGGCGCTGTAATCGTAAGAGATGATAACGTTCACTAGATGGCGCTGTACATTTAGACGCCATTTCTACATCGCGCTGGCTAGATTCCGTCACGTACTATGACACCGGCGAGAGGCGCGAGTTGCGACAAGACCTTACTTCATAGGATCATTTCTATAGTAAGCTCTTCACGAGATCCACACACCAGGTGTGATCGTGCAAGCCGCGAGGATGAGGCGCGGCGCCCTGAGCGTGAGGCGGGCGCGGCTTCGGCCGACAGCCCTCGATGATCGTTCACTCTCCGCCTCGGCGGGGAGCGTGGGGCGTCGTCGCTGTCTGAGCGGCTAGCTTTTTGAAACTCTTTTATTACTCTTTATAATATCTCATTTTCCAGGGGATGAATAAACTCCTAGATGTTTTGCTCACATGGGTTATTGTTTTGAGTTATTGGAATTTGGATTCATTTCTATTTATATAGATGTACTCGTGATAATTGGCAAGATATCTTTAATAATCCTATAATTATAATTTCCAACTACATATTTTCTTTATTGCAGATTAGGAACTCGGGTTCCATGTACAATAAATATTGATACTTGTCATTACAAATTATTTTAAATTGTTCCTAAAACTCTATGACCAATGTTTAATTAAATGATCCATTTGTTTATTTCTAGGTAACTGTGGTAAATTATTCACATAGAAGATCCTATTGAGATCTTCAAGTTTCGTATTGTTTCATAGAAGCGATGCTGTTATTATCATTTGCACTACCTTGGTTCAGCTTTATCATAGTACTATCTATGACTTTTTCATACTTTGTTTGCAATATTAATATTGATGTGCTGTTATTTTGTGCAAAAACTAACACATTCTCTTAAGACTACGTCGCACTCATCGCAAAATCAAATCAAAATCTTTGGACCAAAAAAAATGTTCGACTATTATTTGCTATTTTTTATGTAATGCACTTACTTGCCTTTCGTGAATTCCAATTTCGCTTTTGAGATTCGTTCAGTTGCAAAATAGCTTTAAGTTAATCTCAAGTTTTAGTTAAATTTCTTTATATTTTTAAACTTCTTTATATTATCTTTCTTTTTTTAATTCTAAGTTTTATCTACATACATGAGAAATATATTGCTCTTAGTTCATTTTTATACTCACTTCTTTTAGATTTTGTATGTAATGTCCCTTTTACTTTATATAAAAGTTTTTTTTATTATTAAATAAAATATACCTATCTATGTATATGCAACTTATTATTAAATTTTTTACAATAATGCGAGATTTAAAAAAGGCCAAAAAACAGTAAGAAAGGTTTCAATGATTCAGACAAGGTTATACAAGCTCGAAAGTCTTTTGATACTTCTGCCAGATGGCGCTGTCCATAAATTCGTAATTTCTGCATCGCGCTGTCTAGATTCCGGCGCGCACAATGACCACGCAGAGCCGCGACAGCTCGGGCATCGCTTCTCGGCCTTTTGGCTAAGATCAAAGTGTAGTATCTGTTCTTTTCAGCTTAATATCCGAAAGTTCCCGCACTGCGGGACCAGTATATTAAACTGATTTTTGTGACTCGGCGGGATGTTCGGGGCTCGCTCCACTCCCGCCACGGGTCGGCCCGGCATTGCAGTGCCGCCGGGATCGGCCCACATTATCTAACTATATCTTCGACAGCTTAGCAGGAAAAGCAAAAATCTTACAACTAAATAATTTGTTTAAACTTTAAACGTATGTTATCTGTAATACATTAAACACGTCGGAATTCAACCAGCCCTGGTGCCCTGCTACACTCAAACGCGATAATTATTTAACTAAGTGACAGAAGTTCTAAACACGACTGATTTGAATTTTGTGTTTCACACGAGAGACGAGACCTGTCTTTTTTCATCTCACAAATCTTGCTACGTAAAAACAGGTAATAAATTAATAATTAATAGGCTATCCAAATACGAAAAAGCGCTATAAATGATCCTAGAGTATATTGAATATAAACTCTAAATCGGATAAGCCTTTTCTGAGATTAGCATGCACAAACGCGCAAACAAACAGAAAAAATCTAACAATCATTGTTTTAGGTGCTACTTGCGTTGATAAAGGTCCCAATAATATTTTTTGTCATATATCTTCCATGTACAGACAGCGATCCGTTATATTTTTATTATAAGTATAGCTTACCAAACACTGCAAAAAAAACTGAGATATTGTCGTTCCTTACTCTGCTACATGGCGCTGTAATCGTAAGAGATGATAACGTTCACTAGATGGCGCTGTACATTTAGACGCCATTTCTACATCGCGCTGGCTAGATTCCGTCACGTACTATGACACCGGCGAGAGGCGCGAGTTGCGACAAGACCTTACTTCATAGGATCATTTCTATAGTAAGCTCTTCACGAGATCCACACACCAGGTGTGATCGTGCAAGCCGCGAGGATGAGACGTGGCGCGGCGCCCTGAGCGTGAGGCGGGCGCGGCTTCGGCCGACAGCCCTCGATGATCGTTCACTCTCCGCCTCGGCGGGGAGCGTGGGGCGTCGTCGCTGTCTGAGCGGCTAGCTTTTTGAAACTCTTTTTAAATTATTACTGCTATCATTTCTCCAGAAAATGGATTAACTTTTAGATATTTTCGCTCACGTGCACTGACTTGTATTAAAGTCCATGCGTATTAAAAGTTCAGCTTAAAGTAGTGCTCTAGGCCTTAGGGTACCAGGTCATGGGTTTCGGTACTGCTATTTTACCACTTTTATTAAATAAAGTATTTACATAAACATATTTAATATAGTATTTTTTGATTAAAACTTAAAACGGGAAATTTATGTTTTTTATTTTATGCTATATGTACTGGTGATAATTGGCAAGATATCTTTAGCTATCCTCTTTCTACTTTTTTTTTTTCAACCTAAGCCATCATACTATTAAGATGGGGTTTATCTATACAGATAAATAAAATTGAAGTGTCTATTTGTAATTTCAAAATAACAGCGTTTTACTAAATACATATGAAATGATATATAGTACTTATAAGAAAAACACTTTTTTTTTAATTTTTGTATTTTTGTCTGTTCCGGATAATCTCGGAAACGGCTGGACTGATTTTGACGGGACTTTCACTGGAAGATAGCTGATGTTATGGGGAGGCAAAGTATAGGCATAGTACGTAGGCTACTTTTATTTTAAAAAAGTATTAGGGTTCCATTCAAAAAAAATAAAACGTACCTAGGGACGAACCCGAGCGAAACGAGGGTGAGTCGCTACTTTAATTAATAAGATCGCGGACTTGTCACGGAATTGTTTCCAAAACTGGTCCCCCTGTAACCAATGTTTACGGTCCATTTTTTTTATTTCCAATGTGGTAAATTATTCATACATATATTGAGATCTTCATATTCTTGTATTGTTTTCTTTCATAGAAGCGATGCTGTTGTTATCATTTGTACTACCTTGATTCAGCTTTATCATACAATTCATGACTGCTTCATACTATGTTTGCAATATTAAAATTCATTTTTTATTGTTGTTATTAAAATTCATTCAATTTAATGTGTTGTTGTTTTTTTTCTCTTAAGACACACTCATTTCAAAGTCAATCTTTTTATATATTACACTTACTTGTCTTTTGTAAATACAAAATCGTATTTTCCTTTTGAGATTCGTTCAGTTGCAAAATACCTTAAAATTGGTGAATTTAAATAAGTTTGACTAAAATTTCTTCTACCAACTGATCTTTCTTTTGTAAAGTCTGGAGTTTTTACAACGTGGCTATTTTTCCTGAAATTATTTTAATTAAACTTAGTTTTATCTTTATGTACAGTATATTTTTCTTAGTTTTTTTTAAAATATACATATACATATGCGCGAGGTACTTATGAATATTTATTAATAATAGTTTGAATAATTTTAAAGAGACCAAATTAACAGTAATTACTGTTTTTGATACTTCTGTTAGATGGCGCTCCCCATATAAAAATCGAACAAGGCAATATTTATTATTTATTATGTTATTTTATGTAATAACCAACAAAATAGCACATAACATATTTAAAGTTATACCTACTTGGGACACGTAGGAATAATAATAGTGTTTTGACTAAATCCTTTGAGAAAGGAATTCCAAAGCTGTGGAATAATTATAGCTACTCTCATACCTATAAGATTTTTATGGAAAATACATAATGATAATATATTTAGATAGGTAAACTAAAGAGACCACGTATATGTATATACTGGGAAAAGAGCTAGTTTTGTCTGCAGATAATTTATTAAAAAGTTATACTTACTTATCTTATACTTATTAAATCTCTACAGAATTAAAATATGTTTTTGTGCGAACCATCCATTTTCCGTAATTCAACAATTAATTAGCTTTGCAGTACATAAACTTTAATTAGACCAAACCATGGCAATGCGTGACCGGGTACATCTAGTAATAATATAAATTATTAAACGTAAAAATACTACATAGACACCTTAGATCAATAAAAAAGTTTTATTGGTCTGAGACAGACACTATAATTTAAAATAATTCGATATTTTTTCCTCTATGGAATACCATACCAAGTTAGGGGCGCCGAACAAAATCCTATACAAAATATTCTCGACGACTATACGAATATTTTTTCACAAGTTTTCGTGCTGGTACAGTTAATCAACATAAAATTTGAAAGTAACTAAATAATTTGCTTTAATTAGGACGAATATAAATATATTTTAATATCATATAAATGGTATTGTAAATTGTTGTATGAAAGCTCAAGTCTTTTGATACTTCTACTAGATGGCGCTATCCATAAATTCGCGGTTTCTGCATCGCGCTGTCTAGATTCCGGCGCCATAATGACCACGCAGAGCCGCGACAGCTTGGGCATCGCTTCTCGGCCTTTTGGCTACGTGCAGCAGATATAAGCGATCACGGTGCAATAGGTTCCAAGCCCATCGTGGCGTTACCTTCTTGCTGGCTCAAAGGTCAAATACGACAACGCACAAGACGACTACACGAAAATATATGGCGTGAAGCCGTAGACCGCAGGCAGGCGAAGGAAACGCTTCCTATCATTAACGCTAAAACGACTAACCGTCTGTTTAATCTCAATAGATCTCAGCTCAAATAGATAACCGCGGCTCTAACAGGCCACGGACCCTACAACAAACCACTATTTAACTTAGGTATAACTGACAGCCCACTCTGCAGAGCCTGCATGAGGGCAGATGAAACGGCTGCACATGTAATCTTACATTGTCCAGGTGTAGCGGCGTACCGGGCTCAACATCTTGGCACCCCTAGTACACTCCCGGAGGTCTTCGGTAGGACGAAGAGACTGCTGAAATTCGTGGAGGAGCTGGGCTGGCAAGAATAAAGCAATTGGAAAAAATTTCCCACACACGCAAAATAGGCGCGTAGATGTCGAGTTGCGGAAACCAGCCCGTTTATACCATACCAAGCGATCACGGTATAACCATTAAAAGCGATATAAATACTAAGAAGAAGAAGCCTCAAGATCCATCGAAGCGTCGAACGTTACTGAAGAGGGGATTAAGGTCGTCATCAACATGAGCGACGCTGGAAATATCGGTGTGGAAGACAATACCATCGTCGTACTTTTGCCGATTTCAGTGGACACCCCTCTGAAATGTCCGCTATGTAACACTCGCGGCCTCTATAAGGGCGAAAGAAAAATCGAGAATTTCGTCGGGCATTGTAAGACTTATGCGTCACATATCGGTGTTTAAGATGCAACTTTGTGGCATCGTAGCAGGCGAGGTATCCTAGGAAGATCGTAACAGCACACTGTCTCGAATGCGTGCCAATAACAAATCCTACGACGACAGCCGGTCGTGATCGGATACGTCGAAACGTGGTACGGGAAGAGTTGAATATTGCCCTACCTCGGAATAATGAATCTCGAAGCGAGATTACGTCAATCATGCCGAATTCAACACCTGAGGAAACGAGGCCCGAAGAGGGAAGTTTGATGTCAGAGGTGATAACAACCCAGGCGACGACAAATCCGATTACGCCTTCCGTAATAGCCACCGATCCTGGCAGTCATTCCCAGGCAAATATATTGCTCTCGGCCGGAAATGAAACCAGCGGTTCTACCCAATCCGTGAAAGAAACGGAAAGGCCTGCCAGAGGCTCATCTCGCATCCCCACAAATGAGCAGATAGCCCTAACGGAAGAGCTTAACCTAGTGAATTCCACTGAAAAACTACATTCTGTTCACCACAAAGTGGAAATTTTCTTGTGTAGGTTAATAAACAACACTCGAGCTCACCAAACAAGCAGGCCACAAGCTACTAGGAATGAAAACCAGATTGCGCCTGCAGATAAGATCAAAGAAGCTACAAGAATACAAAAGCTATACCGAAAGAACCGCAAAAGAGCTATGCAACAAGTACTCACGGGGTCCGCCAAAGTATGTAGTATTGAAAAAACACAAGTCCACGAGTATTTCGCAACTCTTGCCGCACCGAGACATGGTGAATCAACTTGGACGGATGTCTTCAATCAAGAAGAAGATCTGACAGCACTGGCGAAGAACTTACGGCCTCGATTCGAAGAGAAGAAGTACTGGAGATTCTCAAGAAAAGAACCAATACAGCACCAGGTCCGAACGGGCTTACTTATTCAGATCTACAAAAAGCAGACGCGGGTGCCTATGTAACAACTGCTCTTTTTAATGCGATATGGCGCCTGGAGCAAATTCCGGATAGCTGGAAGGATTCCAACACAACGCTCATATACAAGAAGGGCGCGGTCGATGACATCAGAAACTGGCGACCAATTGCTATGAGTGACACAGAGCCGAAGCTAATTGCTGCTGTACTGGCTGAAAGACTTAAAGCGTGGGCCATTAGAAACAAACGCTTTAATCGGGCACAGAAAGGGTTCCTCGAATACGAAGGTTGCTTTGAGCATAACTTTATCTTACAAGAAGCCATTCGAGAAACCAAAAATAAAAAGAAGAGTTTGGCTGTCGCTTGGCTGGATATGGCAAATGCGTTCTCGTCAATACCGCACTCTTCCATAATGCGTGCATTGACTGGGCATTGGGTACCATCTACAGCGAAATCATTAATTACAGCAATGTACGACAACACAAGAACCCGTGTTCGTACTTCGACAGGTTTAACGGACCCCATTATTATGAAAGCAGGAATTACACAAGGCTGTCCTTTGAGTCTGGCAATATTCAACTTGACGCTTGAAGTCGCCTGCGGGTCCTAGAGAGATTCGGAGAGGGGTTTGTTGTTGGAGAAAATCGCATACCCAGCCTAGCTTACGCTGACGATATCGTCATAATGGCACAAACAGCTGTAGGCCTAACGAACCAGCTGCAAGCAGCAGAATTAGCAGCAAAGATGATTGGGATTAGCTTCAACCCTGCTAAATGTGCTACGCTCCATATAGAGGATGGTAATGTACTATCCACTGTGTTCTCGATCCAGCACGAGTCAGTGAAAGCGTTGGGACTTAACGACCACTATGAACATCTAGGAATACCGACAGGTTATCAGGTCAAGCAAACTCCTATAAGCTCGACTAAGGAACTCATAGCAGATACCAGACGGCTGGATGGCTCTCTTCTTGCGCCATGGCAAAAGCTTGATGCGATACGTTCCTTTATCCTCCCCCGACTCGACTTCGTCATGCAAGGCAGTGATATATACAAAAGCCACTTAACTGAAGCGGACAAGGTCGTCAAGAGGGTGGCTAAGGGTTGGCTCCATCTACCGCAGCGTGCAAGTGCGGAATTGGTTTACATACCACCGTCGCGAGGAGGAGGAGGGCTGCTTCGTCTTAGTGATCTCTATGATCTATCCACCATAGCACATGCCTACAGAATGCTGCATGCAACAGACCACATTGTTAGTGGCTTAGCATCTAGGCTGCTGAAGGAAACGGTTTCAGAACGCCTAAGTAACCCTGCTAGCAATGTGGATATTGCTCGGTATCTCTCCGGAGACTTGGATCTGCCACGCTCTTCCTCACGAACGTCATTCTGGGCAAAGGTTCGTACATCAACCTATCGCATTAGATCCAAATTTAATATCCGATGGATCTGGAATGACGACAAGCAAGAAATTACTCTCCGGTGGGATGGAGCTGAGCCAATAACACCAGCAACAAAAGGCATGGCATATAAGCGACTGAGGATGAAGCTGACTGACTACTACGCCTCCCGTCTAACTGCCAAACCAGATCAGGGAAAAGTGTTAGAAGTTACCACTAAAAGCAAGCATTCTAATCACTTTCTCTGTAACGACAGAAACACGAGGTTCTGTGATTAGCGGTTTGTACATAGGGCACGATTGGATGTATTACTACTCAACGCCACAAAAAGATGGGACACGGACGCCGACAAACGTTGTCGCAGGTGCGGAGCCGATGAAGAAACACTCCCACACGTTGAAAACCACTGTAGAGTGCACACTGTGGCCAGGCAGAAACGGCATGACAACATCGTGAGTAGGTTAGTAAAGGCCAACAGGCACCCCGGAAGTGTTTCTGTTAACCGTACGGTGGAGGGAGTGACCGGTGAAGCAGCAATGCTGAGGCCTGACTTCGTGATCCGAGACAACGCCAGCAAGGCAATCATTATTGTCGACGTAACGATGCCCTTTGAAAATAGATTGTCTGGATTCAATGCAGCAAGGACGGAAAAGCTGTCGAAGTACGCCATTCTAGCTGACCAACTAACCCTACAAGGGTACCGAGTGGAGGTAGAAGCCTTTATAATTGGCACTCTTGGAGGCTGGAACACGAAAAATGAAAGAATACTTGATATCATGAAGGTGAGTCGGTATTACGCTGGGATGATGAGAAGATTTATGGTGAGTGACACAATACGATGGTCCAGAGACATTTATGTGGAACACGTTAGCGGAGTGCGACAATACCAGCAATAAGCACCGTCATTGAAAATGGATGTGACAAGGGTTCCTTATCTTTGTTTTATATGTAAACGCTCTCTTGAAATGTAAAGTCTCAATATTTTAACGACTACATTTTTGTATTTATCTTAATAAAAGTAAATAAATAAGTAAATAAAAAAGGCAAAAAAGGAGAAAAAATAAGGCAATAAAATTATTATAATATATAATAAGCAATTGTTATTAATAGTTTGTTGACCTTTTTTTACCCCTTCACTGGAGAAGTCTTTTTTTAAACAAATAAGCCCTAATCTGTTCTTTTCAGCTTAATATCTGAAAGTTCCCGCACTGCGGGACCAGTATATTAAACTGATTTTTGTGACACACGATAACTATAAGCTAAATAATTCGTTTAAACGTATGTTATCTGTAATACGTCGGAATTTAACCAGCCCTGCTGTACTCAAACACGATAATTATTATAACTTGTGAAAGAAAATCTAAACACGACTGATTTAACTTTTGTGTTTCACACGAGAGACATCTGTTTTTTAAACGACTTCCAAAAAGGAAGAGGTTCTCAATTCGTCGGAATCTTTTTTTTATGTATGTTCACCGATTACTCGAAGACGTCTAAGCTGATTTGGATTTTTTTTTTGTTTAATAGGGCACACTTTCCAGGTGGTCCTATATAAATTTTATCGAAATCGGTCGAGCGGTTTTTTCAAAAAATCAACAATAAATATTTTTTTAAAATAAATTGTTTAATCGAATATGTTATAAAAAAACTTTCTTCTTACAAATTATCTGCTTATTACGTCTACACTAAAAATGGAAAAATAAAAACTAAAAAAAACGGACTTCCAGGCACTAAAATGTAAAAAATAACTAAACGGAAGGTTTTCATTTAGAATAGATACCTAATCAGATATATTCGAAGTCGATGCCAGCCGACAATATTTCAAGATATGAATTATAGGTAAATATGTATTTTACGTATAAAAATATATTGGATTTCCTTTGCGGCTAGCACCGACTTCGAATATATCTGATTTAGTTAGGTATTTTTTACATTTTAGTGTCTGGAAGTCGTTTTTTTTTTTAAGTTTTTATTCATCAATTAATTGCTACGTAAAAACAGAAGTTATAATTGGCTATCCAAATATGAAAAAGCGCTATAAATGATTCTAGAGTATATTGAACATTCTTAACTAAATAGTTGATTAATTATTATTATGAATATGACTAGATTTAAATAAAAGTAATTTAAACTGGTTAACGACACCTTAGCTTGAGTACCATATACATGAACAATTACTATTTGCCATTATATTTACATCATTTTATGTTTTGAACGATGCAAACAGCACAACATATGTTATTAAATTTGCTTTTATTCAGACATTACCAAAACACTGTACACATGTACAAAAACACAAGTAAAAAAACTGAGATAATGTCGTTCCTTACTCTGCTACATGGCGCTGTAATCGTAAGAGATGATAACGTTCACTAGATGGCGCTGTTCATTTAGACGCCATTTCTACATCGCGCTGGCTAGATTCCGTCGCATACTATGACACCGGCGAGAGGCGCGAGTTGCGACAAGACCTTACTTCATAGGATCATTTCTATAGTAAGCTCTTCACGAGATCCACACACCAGGTGTGATCGTGCAAGCCGCGAGGATGAGACGTGGCGCGGCGCCCTGAGCGTGAGGCGGGCGCGGCTTCGGCCGACAGCCCTCGATGATCGTTCACTCTCCGCCTCGGCGGGGAGCGTGGGGCATCGTCGCTGTCTGAGCGGTTAGCTTTTTGAAACCCTTTTCTAACTCTTATATTGTCTACTAGGGATGATCATGTAAAAAAAAATATCGATATTTTTTCGATATAGTATATCGTATTGTTGTATCAATACTTTCCGATATATTTTCATGCCTTTGCGTTTCGTTAATGCGAAGGCTAGTTTTTCAATAACCCGGGGTTATACGTTTTATTTTTACTCAAGTTGCCATCCACAAATAAAGGAATCAATATAAAAAAAGAGATGGAATGTGCTTTTAATTTCTCACGATATTTGTTATATCGAATGAATATCGATTGTACATATGGATACTAAATGATTGGATAATATCGGGTTGAAGCGATATAGAAAAAAGCTCTTAATTATAGTACATCGTTTGCTTCTTTTGTAAGTGCCTACTCAAAGTTAGGAGAGTATGTTCCATGGCGAAATCTTTGTATATTAAAGACAAAATAAAAAAATCACATAATAAAGTAAAAGTGACATGGAACATAATGGCTTGTGAAAGTGGAATATCAACAATAATTTGATTGAAAACCTAGAGATCTATTGGCTTTGTCTATAAACGTATCCATGTGAGGAACAAAACTCAAGCGACTATCAAAGATGACACCTAGATCCCGGGCATTATCAACTTCTCGTAGTTCATTGGCGCCAATATAATATTTAGATGGTATGACACTCTTTTTTTCGTGTAAACTGTTTTTCCGTATTGAGAAACATTTTGTTCTTATTACACCATAATATCATTAGTCTGTGCAGATCATCTTGAACCATAAACTTCTTTAATCGTTCTAATTATTTTATTTATTTATCTGCAGAAACATAAAACAAATTAAAGAAAATTACATCTACGTATTAAAAACTAAAAATATCATTTTAAATTTGGTGTCCAATTATATCTGTACCCGACATTGAAATTATGTATTAGATAAGAGATTTATTTTAATAGGAAGATTTTTAAGATTATCTTTTGACTAAGTGTAATCATATAAGGTATCACGTAGTGTAACCACTAAGAGCTATATATAAATGTAAAGAAAAATATAATTTTCTTTAATTTAAATAATCTGTAATTGTCAGTGTCGGAGTGTAGACATAGACTGATATATTTGTTTTGTTATCTGTAGTCAAGTCATAATCTATAAACGTTAAATCATTGTTAGAACCTTTAAAAGCAATTTTATAAAATTCAAAATAGAATGGTGTGTAATCGTAATTTGGGAATCGACATTAGAATTAATAGCATTAAATGTCGTTTCTTTTGTTTTTTACAGGTAAAGAAACCTTTTAATTTTTATTATTTAAGTATGTGTATTACATGTAATAATTATAAGTTGATGCAATAAACCTTTTGTTTTTTACAGAGAAACTCAATTACCTTTTAATTCTGTCGTCCCAATAATCAATTAAAAGAATATCTTACATAAATATGAAGAAGATCCATCGAAACGTCAAACATTATTGTTGAAGAGCGTATTAAGCTCGTCATCACCATGAGCGACGCTGAAAATACCGGTGTGATAGAAAATAACATCGTCATACTTGTACCGATCTCAGTGGACCCCCCTCTAATATGTCCGCGTTATAACACTCGCGGTATCATTTATAAGGGCGAAAGAAAAATCTAAAATTTTGTCACATTGTTAGGAACACCATAGAAATTTATGCCTCATATATCGGTGTGTAAAATGCAACTTCGTGGCACCGCAGCAGGCGAGGTATCCAAGAAAGGTCGTAACGGCACACTGTCTCTAGTGCGTGCTATTAGTCAATCCCACGACGAAAGCCGGTCGTGATCGGAATACCTCTATACCTCAGAATAATGGATCTCGAAGCGAGAGAACGGCGATCGTGCCGAATTCAATACCAGAGGGAACGAGGTCCGAAAGGGAAGATTGATGTCGAGGGTGATAACAGACCAAGCGACGACAAATTCGATAACGCCTCCCGTAATAGTCGCCGAACTTATCAGTTATTTCCAGGGGAAAAAATTCTCTTGGCGGGACATCAAACCGGCGGTTTTACTCAACCCATGAGAGAAACAAAGTTCTGCCAGTAGCTCGTCTCGTATTTCTACAAAGGAGGGTGTCCTGATGGAGGAGCTTGAACTAGTTAATTTCACGGAACAGCTCCATTCTGTACACCAGAAGGTGGAAAGTTTCATGTGTAGGTTGATAAACATAACTCGAGCCCACTAAACAAATTGGCCATAAGCTACTAGGGATGAAAACCAAAAGAAGCCTCCAGATAAGATCAAAGAAGCTACAAGGACCCAAAAACTTTATTGAAAGAACCGCAAAAGAGCCATGCAACCCAATGTATGTACAACGTTTGTACCATGGAAAAAACATATGTCCACGAGTATTTCAGAACACTTGCCGCACCGAGACGTGGTGAACCTACATGGACGGATGTTTTCAACCAAGAGCCACCGTCTTACAACACTGACGAAGAAATTTACGGGCTCAATTCGAAGAGGAGAAATACTTCCGATTCGTAAGAAAATAACCACAGCCCCAGGTCCGAACGGATTTACTTATTCTGATCTCCAGAACGCAGACCCAGGTGCCTATGTTACTACAGCTCTATTTAACGCAATTTGGCGCCTGGAGCAAATCGCGTATAGCTGGAAAGTCTCTAATACAACGCTCATATACAAGAAGGGCACGGTCGACTACATCAGGAACTGGCGACTAATTGCCATGAGTGACATAGAACCGAAGCTAAACAGCTGCTATACTGGCCGATAGGTTTAAAACGTGGGCCATAAGAAACCAATGCTGTAATGAGGCTAAGAAAAGGTTTGTCGAATACGAAGGATGCTTCGAGCATAGTTTTATTTTACAAGTAGGAATTCGAGAAACCAAAAATAAAAGTTTGGCTGGATCTGGCGAATGCATTTTCGTCAATACCATACTTTCCATTATGCGGGCATTGACTGGGCATTGGGTAGCATCGAAGGCGACATCAATAATTAAAGCAATGTACGACAACGCTAGAACCCGTATCCGTACTTTAACACGCTTAACGAACCACATAATTAGGAAAGCCGAGATTAAACAAACTTGTCCTTTAAGCCCGGCAACCTGGCGCTTGAGATCGTCCTACGGGTTCTAGAGGTCCGGGGAGGAGTTCGTTTTTGGAGAAAGGCCTTGCGAGCAAATGTGGAGTTAGCTTTGATCCCACCATCGCGAAAATGATGAGGGCTGCTTCCCCTTAGTGACCTCTACGGTCTATAGAGCACAGCACATGCCTTTAGAACGTTGCATGCAACAGACGACACTGTTAGTGGCTTAGCATCTAGGCTATTTAAGGAAACGGTTTCAGAACGACTAGAGAAACCTGCTAGCAATGGGGATATTGCTCGCTATCTCTCCGGAGACTTGGATCGGCCACGCTCTTCTTCACGAACATCATTCTAGTCAAAGGTTCGAACATCAACCTATCGCATCAAATCCAAATTCGATATCCGCTGGAACTGAAACGAGAAGCAAGAAATTACTCTTCAGTGGGATGAAGTGACCAATAACAAAGAGAATGGCATATAAGCTACTGAGGATAAGGCTCATAGATGATTACACCTCACGACTAACTGCTAAACCAGACCAGGGAAACGTTTTAAAATTTACCACTAAAAGCAAACACTCTAATTACTTTTTATATAACGGCAGCAACACGTTATTCTATGATTGGCGGCTCGTGCATTCGATGTCTTGTCACTTAATGCCACAAATAGATGGTATACAGAGGTCGAGAAACGTCGCAGGCACGGAGCTGATGAAGAGATTCTCCCACACGTTAAAAGCCATTGTAGAGTGCACAGTGGGGCCAGGCAGAAACGGCATAACAATATCCTGAACAGGTTAGTAAAGGCCAACAGGCACCCTAGAAAATTTTCTATCAACCATTCAGTAGAAAGTGACCGGTGACGCGGCAATGCTGAAGAAGTCTGACATCGTAATTCGAGACAACGCAAGGAAAACATTCATAATAGTTAACATTACAGTGTCTTTTAAAAATAAACGATCCAGATTCAATGCAGCAAGGATGGAAAAGTTATCGAAGTGCGCTACACTACGTGACGAAAACTAACGCTAAAAAGGTACTGAGTGGAGTTGCAGTCTTTTTGATTGCACTCTTGGAGATTCGGACATGAAAAATGAAAAAGTATCTCATGTAGGTCAGTCAATATTATGCTGGTATGATGAGAATATTTATTTAAGGTGAGCGACGTCATACGATGGTCCAGAGACATCTACTTGAAACGTCAGCGGAATGGGAATGTCGATATGATTTGATTGTACCCGCTCTATTAGATTTATTTTCTAGTGTTTCTGTTATTCAATTATAATTTATTCTTGGATTCGAAGACATATGGACCTGCAAACCGCAAGTAGAGCCATAAACTTGTTTCAAAAGGCCAATTCAATTAGACATTAGAGTATGGACACGAGAAGTTGATTAATTATAATTCGATGCCTTTATCCACGGAAAGGAAAGATTTTTAGGGTCCAGTGTAGTGGTATAGGGAAGAATCTCTATATGGTTGAATTGAACTCTTATAATAGTCAACGAAGGCATGGTAACAGCTCAACGATACATTGCGGAAGACATAAGACCTCTTTTGGTGTCATTTGTACAAAGAATTGGTACCAAGTTCTAGTAAATACGCGACAATGCCCGCGCTAATACAGCTAGAGCCTACAGAGACGTCGTAGGTGACATATACACGTCATGCCGTGGCATGCCACCCGGACCCGGAGAGAGAGAGTACGTAATCTAGGCTTTAAGCATGTGTCACACGATACTGAAAAATAAAAAATAAAACTTTTAACGGTCTCCGTTTTGATGTCGTTTGTCAGTGTATGTTTTACTAAAATTCCTTTTTTTGTTTAACAAAAAGACGTAACCAGATGTCCTTTTATACCAACAAACATTTAAATTTTAGAATTTTGCATAAAAAATTAATCACATAGTTTAATCAAAATATATTTATCAACCACCAAAACAAAACACAGTATATATAATACTTTCTTAGATTTACGCGAATATTTGACATTTTAAATAAAACTATCTTTTCGGATTTTGTCGCGGGTTTATTATTACAAATAAACCCGCGACAAAATCCGAAAAGATAGTTTTATTTAAAACACAGTATATATATTAGAATGCTAAGAATACATGTTAGCCCTTTTGTTCTGATTTGTATACACCCAGAAGTAGAAATGTAAAAAAAACAGCTTTCATTTGAGGAAACAAAATGAACTACTAGAATTATCTTAGCCATTTCCATTTCAGATCGTAAGAAGCCGCCAAAAAAGGCTCCAAGGGTGACGTTAGTTGAGAAGATTCTATCAAGCACCAGAACCATATGTAGCGTGCGTAAAGAAAAAGAAAGTCTTGATCTTTGTCCAAGTTGTATGTGGGGGCCCAAAGTTGGGTACGTACCAGGTTTTTTTTTATATTTTATATTAATAGCATAAATTGTTATAAGCGTTTAATCTCTATAATTAAAAAAGAAATGCTGTTCATTGCTTGAGAATGGGCGTATGCAGGACACCGAAGATGGACCTATTAAGGTTTTAGACGAAAAAACTTTGGAAAAGTAGCGAGGAAAACTGAGAAATTTGAAAAAAAACTAAAGTAATTTTTTCATAGGACTACTGAACTCATAGATTACAAAGTAGAAACAATTTTTCACAATTTGGACAGGGCATCTGCTAGTCACATAGTATTTTATATTTTTAAGTATTTGATCAAAAAAATATAAAATACTTCAGACATTTTAAGTCTATAAGTTCAGAAAATCATCAGTGGAAGGTCCTACAAAAATCACAAAATTATATTGCTATATGTAAAATGATGACAATATAAAGCAGATTTCGATACTATTATATTTCAGCTACGATGATGTCGTATGGCACAAGCTAGGAAACTGTCCGTGGTGGCCGGCACGCGTGCTCACGCCTGGGACTGTGCCCTCTTGCCTCCTTAGCCGGTCGCACTCACCACACCAGTGGCCTCTTAAATATTACGGTAAGAATATTGACCCACTTGACTATATAAAAATGTATGTATTAAGCCCTTTTTAACGTCCTACTGCTGGGCATGGGCCTCACTTCAATGCGAGGGGGATCAGTCCATAGTCCACCACGCTTGTCAAATGCGGGTTGGCGGACTTTACATGTCTTTCGAGAACTTGCTAGGTTCTCTCAGACATGCAGGTTTTCTCACGATTTTTTCCTTCACCGTAAGACAAGTGATAATCATGTTGGTAAAATTTCGCACATGAAAATATCAGAGGTGCGAGACCCGGGACTTGACCCCGCTCCACTTGGTTTCCCAAGCGAGCGCGTTACCACTGGGCTACTACTGCCTAATACAAAAATAATGATACGAAAATATTTTTATCTAATAGATGAAGAGATAATACATAATATCAATTAGTTTCGAACTTAAAACGTACTCTATTGTAAGACACTTACAAAAAAGATAATTATTCCATCTTTGAGTGGAATATATTTATTTAGAAAAGAATCGATGCTATCCTTTCACAATTGGTTAAAATATCACATGGAATGCAAAAAAATACACCAAAGTTAAAAGTAAAAAAAGTTACATAAATAAAAGAAGCTTATTGATTTTTAATGAATAAGGTTAAGAAAAACAAGATATTCGTCTATTCATGGTATTATTGCTTATAACAAAAAAAAACATTCGTAGGTACAATTCGAGATATTTCATTTTTATTTTGTATTGAAAAGATATTCGTAGGTTATTTTGTGAGACTAATTTAAACTTATATAATAATGGAATTTTTCTTTAGATTATTTCATAGCATTCCAAAAAGGCGCGCCAATTACTTCCGTATTACGAAAGGAGATTCTTTTCTGCTGATAGTAATTCCCTTCATTAAATTCAACTTTTAAAAAACAAAAAAAAACCTAGTTACATGTAATTTTGGGTACGGTGAAATTATTCGATTAAAGCATTGATATTAAAAATCGATTTAAAGATATTCAAAAAATTACAGGCACATTAAATCACTCTTGGGGAGATTCTAACCGCATGTGTCTATTCCTGCCGAAACACACTCGCGCTTTAGAGGCAAAAGACGATACTCTCAGACAAGCAGTTTTAGACGCTAGCGACGATTATATTGCAGTTTACCTTACATAGATGAAAAACGTATTTTTTTATTTATATAAGGTTGAGTTTTAAAGAATGACATTTATTTTTTCATTTATAAAAGTCTTAAGAATTGTATTTTCTATAAATCATGGTATTTTTGTTGTTTCTTGTGCTTCTAGCATAGTTTTGTATTTGATTTCGTTGGAAGCTTTAATTAAACTAAGTATTATTTATATTTTAACCCGAATCTTGATCGTTACATTTATTATTTTACTAACAATACTGTTTTTACTAACTATATTCGATCAATGCAACGAAAACTTAAGTTTAAAGATATTTTTTTAATATTTGATATTTTTGTGAATGTTCACCTAATAAAATGTTAAAATTTTTTTTTTCCAACTTGAATAAACCTACCCTTTTTACTTTTTCTCAAATCTACCCTACACATCACCGTCCAATAATAGCCAGGGAAAACGAAATTTTTTATTTGTCAAATTTACATACAAAATAATACTTTTTATAATTCAACATTTAGCGCTAAGCATTATTTTATCTCATCTCATATCTTTGTACTTACAACGTTTACAGTGAAGTACAGACAGACACAAAGACACGATGAAAATATATATGTACATAAATATATCACATTTCTATTATAACTATACCTTTTACACGCTGTGCTATTGTTTTTGCACCGTCGCGTCGTGTAAAAGTAACATTACATAGTATATTACTAAACATTTTAAAACTAAAAAACGACTATTTTAGAAATTTAATTATCTAGCACTTCCATATTGGAAATTGCTTTGCACAGAAATCGACTACCTATCCAAATTACTAACTACTCTTATTGTGATGTAAGAAACAGATAACAACAAAATTAGAAAACTGTTTCTATTTTCTCGCAACAGATACAAATTAAGAATTGGAATTAAACAAAAATATGTTCAATATGTCACATGTTTCTAAAATAGACGTTTTTCATGTATTTTTTTTAATATTTTTATTATATATAATCCAGCATAAAGTCTAAGCCTAATTAAACGGTTCTCGGAACTAGCTACAGCAGTTCACGGTACTTTTAAAGTAACAGTAATGGGTCCAATAAAGAAAGACATCGTTTGTGGGATACTTTGGTATAATATACCTTTATAAGTCAAAGTTATTTATGCAACTTCTCGGTAGGGAATCTGCTCATTTGTCAATAAGCCTAAAAATCTTTATATAATATACATATTTGCACCAAATGAACAACCAAATTAGATTTTATCTGACCCGTTAATGAATGCTTTGATTTTATACATACATAAATGCAATGTCATTGTCTTCGACTAATAATAAACTGTACATCTAAAATTAACTGCAATTTTGAATATACACTATTTTCCCTATTTATTCTCAATTAAACAAAAAATATTTATTACCTTGAATTCATTTCAAATAATTTTCTTGGTAACAAATATTATCTCTCGGTATACAAAAGTGAAGCGAATTTAATCTCATTATGATTTAAGATTTCTGTAAAGTGTCAAAGTGACATTTACAACTATAAAAAAAATTATGCGATGTATGAGCTTATAATATTTTATAAAAGTACAGATACTATGAAGGGTATAGGTAAGGAGAACCACCAAAACAATTCAAAAATCCACCAGAATGGCGCTAGCGTAGCAAGAGGGTATGATTTGAATTTAGCAGTTGTAAACGGAATGAAATGTGATGAGTTGAACAACTTAATATTTTGAGTAGTTATTTAAAACTATTTACGTAGTCCAAAATAGTTAAGTAAATATAACCAAAAAAACTACGGTGACATAAACTTAGAGTGATTTATTTGTGAGCTTTTAATACCTTTGCCGCTTTTTTCAAAATGTACCCGCTTGCTACTGTGGTGCTACCTTAATTTTTTTATCACAGAGATAGTTCCCCTTACCTCTACTCTCCCAACAAATACTTACTAACTCTTAAATATCAATTAATAAAAACCTGCGCACATTAGATAATTTTAGCATCTGCGAGCTATTTATATTTTATTGTTTAACAATTTATGTTTAGCGTCTTTGCTTAAAAGAAATTGTTTTACAAAGAACGGGTTAATGCTAAAATTATAAAATGTGCCCAAGCTTTAACTTAGTCATATTGGAGCCCAAAAATTATTTTTTCAACAATTTTTAAAAAATAACGTTTTTTTATTTGTAACATTGGTAATTTTACGTAAAAATGTAAGTAGTTCATTATCTTGCTTTTCCTCTCTCTGTTTGTCTTAAAAGCGATTTCCTTTGAATATTTTTACTTTAATTAACAATTTATATTGATATTTAAAATTAAAAATCATTTTTAGGCTCAGTGTTGTTAAGGCATAGTTAAAATACGACACTAATACCTATTGAAATTTAAATAAAACATCACAGATAAAGCGATAGACATCTTATAATAGCGCTTATACTGTAATATTTTTACAGATAGTAATTAAAATATTTATTCATGAGGTTGATATAGTTGTTTGTCTGTTTTTATACAATATTTACTAATGCCAGGGCCGGATTTAAATGTATGCGACCATTCAGGGAGGTCTCAGGGCAAATTAAGGAGATGCCCCTGACATTTTTTGTCTTTCCCAAATTTTTTGGTTTGCCATATTTACGGAACCACAAAAATGTGTCAAAATTATTACTTTCACAGAAAAAACGTCTTTTAAATACACATTTCTTTATTGAGTGCACTTCTCGCTGGGTTGCATGCAGCCCAGGTTGGCTTCCCCTAAATCCGACACTGCTAAAACAGTTGTGTTTTGCTTTAGTGAATAAGCTTAACTGAAGATCCTCCGCATACTGCAGACTTTTATTGAGAAATAGCGTGATTGGATTCGTATTTGTTAATGTGAAGTCAACATCTTCATATTGCTTCGTAATCAGCTCGACTTACTATTAGCCAATATAAGTCTACAGTGTGCAGCGGCATTAAAAATCTCTTAGTGCTATAAACGAACATATTTAAAATATGATAAAGTATAATTTAAAAAGATAAGATTATAAGTTAGATAAAAGAAAATTTCTCACATTATTTTTATGATTTGACATTAAATCTTCGAATGAATCGACAGTAGTAATTAAAATATTGTTTTTAGTCAGTCTTTGACATTTTATTTTACTCACGAATTAATAAATGAATTGGAGCCAGTAATTTTGTTGTTGGATTAAATAGTTTCAAAAATAATTAGCGCTTTAAGTAAAGTGACTTAAGTCCAGATAAAACGATTCTATAATTTTTTATAAGAATTAAAACAAATCTGCGAATGAAAATTAAACAAAAAAAAAACAGGAAAATTGTCATATTTATGTAACTAAAACAAATATATAATCTAAAACAAAATTCAATGTAAAATGGAACGTCAAAAACCTTAATAAAATTAACGGTGTAGCGACACGGCATTGTGGTGTAATTGACTGTATAGTAACCAAACGAACTATTAAAACAATTTACCTAGAAATGCATTGACATCTCAATTAGGCCTATAACATATCCAACTACCCTCGTATTCAGACTAACATAAAATACACTTACATATATACACTTATTTTACAATGAACTATCTTCATTCCCCTGGTCCAATCACTAGCGCACTCACCGCGAAGAACAGAAACACTAGCCCGCCGATAATGGTAACTGATAAAAAGAAAAAATTGTTTTATTATTAATATAATACAATCACATACTATATATACTAATATTATAAATGAAATATAAGATAAAACGTCCTAGTATTATAAAGTATTTTTATCGGTGTTTTGTTTGCATTGCGCTTATTTGCTAAATTCTCACTTCGATATGATTTCTTTATTGCCATCTATAGCTTATTTATTTAAAGAAGGTATGAGGTAGATATTCTATAAGTATATCTAACCTCGTGCTACAGACCCATAAGAGTGGAGTCGCAGTGAAAAGCTAGTACATGTATCGTTGTCATGGGATACTATTTCAGAATTGAATTTATTGATTTGTGTCAGAAGGATGTTTGGGAAATAACAGACACATCAAACACAATCCCAATTTTCGTAATTTTAGGTCGAGGATCGTAACCCAACATGCATGATTTACCTATAGACAAAATAAAATAACGAAATACAAATTTGCTATTTCATCTCTCGAAAGGAATATATCAAATTATTCATTTTACACAATAACATGTTAAATGAACAGTATTATCTAAATTTGTACAGTTTTTACAGACTTTTTATTTGAGCATGCAAAATTAGTTTCGCGAATTACCTTGTGAGATAATATATAACCTGAGTTAACAAATTAAGATACGAGTAGTAAAATACCTACGGCGCGGGCAGAGACGCAAGCGAATTTAGAATATAAATTAAAGCCAGTTACAATACAAACTAAGAACAACGTCATTTTAATTTATATTGTAACCTTTATTCAGATATATTATTAAACCTATAAATGGCCCCTTTTTTAAGTCCTCTAATAAACATTTACGTTACATTTATATTACCAGATGGCACAGTGACTATTTGCACGAGGTTTAAATTTTTATTGCGGTGAGATAAATTCTTTCGGTATATGTAAAATATTCATATATGTCATTTTCGCTTTCAATTCCTCAAATATAACTTTCTTTGTTTAGTAATGGGTGATAACAAGCGTAGTGATTAAAGTATTTTTTATGTCGAAAGTCGCTGGTTCTTTTGCCTACCGATACTGATGATTAGTTTACCTACCTATGTGCTTTACAGTAGCATATGTGTTAAGTAATCCAGGTCATAATCTAGGTTCTAAATTTCGATACTTTCACAATTATTTTGCTATTCGGGGTAAAGACAAATCCAACAAAACAAAAATCATAAAAATCGGTCCAGCAGTTCTCGAGTTATAAGTGTTGTAACAAACCCGACTTTGTTTTACATATACGAGTATAGATATCGGTTACAAATATTCGCGTTTAATCTAAGAAAGTAGTCGCTATAAATGTTCGTCACGATTTGGGTGTATGTATTTTGTATACGTCCAACTATATAGAGAATTTAACGATAGCCATTAGCCGTTGAGTTTGCTGTTATTTATTATTTGTATTTGTCGATCTTCGAAACAATTCTTATCAATATATATTATTATTAATATATATTTATTACATATGAATATTCTTTAGTCACGTATCGCATATTATAACCAGATTTGCCGGTCATTTCGTGCAAACTTGTCACTATATTATTCGTCTATTACACGAATTATTATGGCGCTTCTTTATATGGGATCGCAGTTGCTATTGATGATTATTTAGATTTAAAAAAAAAACATGTTTTTAGATCCAGCGTTTTAAAGTAGATTTGATAAGTATTAACAGTTTGAACAATCCATTCTACTGTTTCTTTAGATTTTACAAAAACAGTAAATTTTTGGACAAACCGAAGTAACATACTTAGCCTTTAGGAAAGGCAATCCGCCATCTTGAATTTAAGGGTTGATTTTTGAAAATTTGGTGTGTTGATAATGTAATTTGCTACAATTATGATGGCGATATTTTTGTTTAAGGTTCATATTTTTGGGACGCACGCTCACAATAAAGGAAAAGTGGGGTGTAAATAATCAGTTTCTCGAACAGTATAACTTGAAAAAATGAACATTTATTTTGTTTTCTGTACACAATTATGTTTGGAACGTTTTAACGATTCTATGAATATCTTCTTCTATAAGTTCACTTCAGTAATTAGTACAGCAATTAGGAATTGAAGATAACCTAAATTATAGGGAATCCCAAACAACTTTGCTAATAACCATTTTTCGTGTCTAATGGAGATTTTACGAGTTATTCAATAAACGAAAATTCTCCACCTCTTTTCGAATATAAATTGAAAAATATCGATCCTACGAAAAAATTGATAAGGACCAAAATTGTAGGAAATTCGATTTTAAACAACTTCGCTTATAACAATTTTTCACGTGAAATTGAAAATAAACGGGATAATACAATGATAAGATTTTACCCTATCTTTTCTCAGATATAAATCAAAAATATCGATCCTATGAAAAAATTAATAAGGACCAAAATTGTAGAAAATTTGATCTTAAACAACTTTGTTATCACAATTTTTCGCGTAAAATTGAAAATAAACGAGTCGTTCAATGTCACCCTCTCTTTTCGGGTATAATTCGAAAAATATCGATCCTAGGAAATAAATGATGAGAACCAAAATTGTAGGAAATTTGATTATAAACAACTTTTGAATTGCTATTTTTCGTATAAAATTGAAAATAAACGATTTATTCAATAAACACAAATCAACCCTTAAATTCAAGATGGCGAATGACGCAACGGGTCTGGTACCCCGAGAATCTAAATTTAGACTTCCAGTGACCCCACCCAAAGAATTCCGAGGGAAAATTGCCGTTAAAATTTTTTGTTATGTTTGCCCTTTTTTGAACTAATTTGACTGGGTTATTATTACTATAATTCCATTTTTACACAATCATTTAAGTATTGTCAAATAGTTATTTTGATCCCTGTGGGCGAACTGAAGGTCATCTCTTGTCATTGAAAGCGTTAGTGAAATTTCAGACTAATGATAATTTGCTACGTAGTCGCATTAGCGCAAGTCATGCTACAAGTCTAAATAATAAATACGTAATAGATTGTTAAAAAGGTTCAACCCAAAGGTGATTTGCTTTGGTATAAATAAATATATTGGCTATGTTTTCTATTATTACTTCTTTGACTATCTCATACATTTTTAAATTCAACAAGATTTTTGAAGCTAATTTTCAATTATCCATGGCCAAATGCCGAATAATTTTATTTATATCCTACATTAAAACGAGGTTGAAATCTTTATATTTTTTTTATCTAAATTCCCTAAATAAATTACCATCCATCTTACACAAACATCACAAAAACCCAAGTAGTACTTACCAGTTCTAACGGATATTTTCTGTGCCACCATCCTACCCCCAATTACAGCCAGGCCTGTACACAGGGCGTGTCCTAACGACCCCCCGACGACAACCCCCACTGCGTCTTCACGAGTGGCGAGCACTACTGTTGCTAACTGTGATCTATCTCCCCACTCCGCTAAAAAAGTCAAAGACGCAGCTTGCAAAAGCACTTTGATTAACGCATTTCGTTTTCTTCGACGGGTTTCTGCTTCACCCTTTTCTAACATATCCACAGACTCCTCTTTATCTTCCTGAAATTAAAAAAAAATAACATATTAGCATTTAGAAAATATAAATTGGAAACTTAATTTGATACCGTATAATATACTGAGTATTGTGAAAGGAAAAAATTAACATAAATAACTTTATATACTATAAGTAACATGCATGCAAAACATCGCTATACATAATACAATCAGGAAGCCATCCAAGGTCGTCATTTACGCACTGGCCGAAAATATCTATGCTGAAAGAAAAATCATGGCGAAATGTTGCCAATCATTCTATTTACGTACGCAAGACTAAAACAGATATAAGTCAAAATCTTAAGTTTTTGCGCATTTGATAAATGCAAAAAATGATAATCTAAGATGTACAAAAATAGAGTAAACATAACAAATCTCATACTCAAATATATCTAATCTAGTAAAGACAAATTTTGCGACAGCTAAATTTAATTGTGAATATAAATGTATAAAACTAAATAGAAAAATAAGGATGAGGAAACATTTTACACAACGATTACATGTACGATGGAATAAACACATATGCTAGGAATAAGTTTGACCAGAAAAAAATACGTTCTTTATTATATTATAACGTCACTACACAGACAATGCGTTAAAGAATAATTTTAATTCATAGTCATAATTTTTGGTCAAACTTCAAATTCAAATAACATGATTCAAATGCTGAATTCCTTTGCAGTAATCAAAATATTAAGCTTTTAAATGCGGAATAGTGGTGATTTGTGCTAAACCTAAAAAAGCTAAGCTAAAAGAAAACAACTATTGTGTCATTCGTACTGCCAGGCATAATGACGTAAGATCACCCTCAACGTATCGGGTTGCGTCGAGGGGCCTGCTTGGGGTTCCTCGAGGGTGGTGGGGGTCACGGGGCTACTGCGGACTTCTACTTCGGGTGTTCGAGAAACCCCTGGGCTTTGAGAGCGTTCAGACGTGGTCCCCTCTTCGGGCGACCTTGAGCGCTCTTTTGGTGAGCCCTGTATAATGTTAAGGACCTCATTCCAAATGTACGAGAGCAAATCCCTTTCTATTTTATCCTTCTCCTATGTCTGTATAACCTCTTTTTTTAAGCTACTATATTTTGTATTTAATAAAAGATATAATCTTAACATAAACGATAAGTTTTCATTTGACAAACATTATGAAGAAGAAAATCTAAGATCTAGACAACAATAAAGGAATTCAACATTTGCATTGTATTTAAGTAATTAGTTTATATTATCATTTTATCTCATTTAAAAATAGCAATAGCTAAAAACTAGATAATATTTAAAACTCATTAGCATTATTAAATCAAATCCTTGATGTGAGATTAGATAGCAAAAATACTTTATCTAAAAGTCTTTAAGATTGTTTAAAGATACAGCAGCAGTATGTCCGTAAAAGTATGCAGATTGTAACTTTAGATTGATCGTATGTACATATTTATTAAGGAAATTTGGAATTAACTGAAATGTAGCACGTTTGAGATAAATTAAATAGATGTGATAAATAAAACTTTATCGATAAAATGTTTCAAAACACATATTCCACAACGTGCGTTATATCTAATTAGCAATTTATATAAAAATTAGAACAATACCTGATCTTCTCTTCTTTTTAATTCACTCTGAACTTCCTCCAATTCTTCTTGGCCTTCATTGGGGTCCATTTTCCAACCGTCTCTTAACATTTTCAAACCAAATATTGCGAACAGCGCTGCACTAATATAATGAGTGTAAACCCTCGGTATCACTGTGGCTATCCACCCAAAGGCTGCCGAAAGTATCGTCATGAAAACTAACGCTGATATAGCACCAGCGAACACTATGACTCTTGGATGTTTCATTGCCATAATGGCAGCTATGAAGAAAGTCTTATCTCCCAATTCGGAGACAATTACGACGGATATCGAAGCTACGAAACCCTGCCAAAAACTGCCCTGGATTGCAGCCCTCTGAAAATAACAGAAGTGTATTTTTTACTTAAATAAAGCCTGACTAGAATTGAGTATTAAAAAAACTTAACATAAATTAGTTAAAAAACTAAAAACTGTATACAAGTTTTACTGTAGGTAGTACAAAATATATGATATCTACAATAACATAAGTAAGATCTTGATATCTAGGTTAAAAGAACGATTGACATGTGCTTTTGAGATTGTGCGATTGAGAGGGGTAGAAGAAAACGTGTTCTCTAGATTTAAGCAGTATACGTAAGCCCATAGAATGTAGAGTCGACTACATAAAGTTAGATCAAGTTTCAAGAGAGATCTATATTAGAATTTTAGTACTGAAAATAAAGTCGCCTTTCACCTATCAACTTGAACTGGAAACAAGTGACAAAAATGAATAAACATACTTTCACGCAAAAACTACTAGATGGATATTAATGAAACTTTATAATAACATATAGGCTACTTGTTATCCCGGAAAAATGTACAGTTCCTGTGAGATAGATTAGTTTTCTATAAAATAAGAAAGTAAAATTAAAAAAATAAAAATTATACTCTGTTAAAATATTATTATGATGAAAAACGGGGATTTTACCATGTTTCTATCATTAAATTTTAATGTTAAAATATTCATCTTCTAACGATTATTTAATCCTTTAGTCATTAGTGTGTGCACATGGCTGAGAATATTTCCGACGCCCATGAATTTCAATGAATCATAAAAAATAATATACCTACCCATTTACTTTTAATTAGGAATTTGTATAGTCTTTATTAATTAAATTAAAGTAAATCTACAAACATTGTAAATAATATTATGTTGCGTTAAACGTTAACGTAAAGTTAAACCCATTTGCTTCACAGAAATCATCACAGAAAAAAAACTAAAAAAATAATAATTAAGAGCTGACTTGTCAATAAAAAAAGTTAAAAAAAATAATAAAACTGTCTTCCAGGCACTTAAATGTAAAAAATAACTAAACGAGGGTTTTCATTTAGAATAGATACCTAATCAGATATTATCGAAGTCGGTGCCAGCCGATGCAAAGCAAAACTTATATTTCGTTTTCGATACATAAAATATCACATCACAATCACAAATTGATGTATAATATTTTAACTATATATTAGAGTTCATACCTAATCATATTTACCTATTTAGATATTCATATATTAAAATATAGTCGGCTGGCACCGACTTTGAAAATATCTGATTAGGTATCTATTCTGAATGAAAACCTCCGTTTAGTTCTTTTTTACATTTTAGTGCCTGGAAATGGGTTTTCATTTATTTTATTAAAACCTTTTATTTTCCATTTTTAGTGTAGACGTGAAAAGCAGATAATTTGTAACAAGAAAGTTTTTAATAACATATTCGATTAAGATTAATTAAAAAAATATTTGTTTTTGATATATAAAAAAACCGCTCGACCGATTTCGATAAAATTTAAATGACCACCTAACGAAACAAAAAAAATCCAAATCGGTTCAGGCGTCTTCGAGTAATTGATGAACATACATTTAAAAAAGATTCCGATTTGAGAACCTTCTCCTTTTTGGAAGTCGGTTAACAAAACCACCTCATTAAAAGCACATTATGGTGTAATTATTTAAGAACATAAATTGTTTAAATATCTTAAAAGATAAAACAGATATGTGACAATACTTTATGCATAACACATAGATGCAGTTACAATACTTATCTGTGTTGACAGTTCTATACGTACGAGTTGGCAATATATTACAAATTTTTACTACATGGCGACACGTTTGGCTCAGTTTGTAGTAACAGTTTGCTGTGCCAGTGGTCGCGGGTTCGAGTACCGATGGGGATTCATTTGTGTGATGAACACGAATGTTTTAACTCGAGTCATGGGTGTTTGTATTTGTAACTTGTATATATTTAAAGTTGTATATGTGTGTGTAGTGTATCAACTATCTGGTATCCATAACACAAGCCTCGTCGCTTACCATGGAACTAGATGGTGCTGTGTGTTAATTTATACACAATATATTTATTTTATTTATTTATGTTTAACCGGGCTCTAATAATCTCTCAAACTTATGTATATTAATAACAACAATATGAATTCTGAAATCTAAAAAAAAACATGCTTTTCTATCTCCTAGGTTCATCGTCAAACCCTAGTCAACAATATATTGAACTTATAAAAAAAATACTTTATCTAAATTGAAGAGATTTACTAGAAACCATTCTTCTTTTCGAAGGCGTCATCACATCAAATTAATGGTACTATATTATAATCGTATTCGATACGATAATTAAATTAGGACATTAAAATCGACACCCTTGATTACACAGTGACGGTTACATAAGTACGAGTACATGCAAGCAAATAAAGCTATTAAAAGTTTGTTAAATGTTTAGTAACTAAATCCACAAATTCGAAATATCAGATAGTTGGAGATCTCCTAAAACAGCCCATGTTCGTAGTTTTTGTGTAACATAAGATAATCAATATATTTATCCATACTATTAATATAAATGTGAAAATTTGTGAGTATGGATGTTTGTTACTCTTTCACGCCAGAACGGCTGAAGGAATCTGGATGAAATTTGGCACAGATATAGATTATAGTCTGGAATTACACATAGGTTACTTTTTATCCCGGAAAAACGTACGGTTACCGTGGGATAGGTTTGTTTTTGTTTAAATTATAAAATATAAAATTATATATTTAAATAAAATGTAAATTGTAAAATTATATACTTATACATTAATTTTATACCTACTGTAAATGCTAAATAAATTAATTATACTACATCAGCAAATAAAAACTAATATAAATAACAAAAGGAAATTTTATACGATAAGCTTTTATCTTTATGGAATGTATTTGTTCACTTGTGATGATAAAAAAGCGAGGTGGATGATAGAGGTGTGTCGACATTAAGCCCATCGTTTGAATCAAATGAATCCAAAGCTAATAAATAAAAGTAGGTGAATAAGTGTTCTTAATTAATTTATATTTGTATTGATTAATTTTATGATATTTGTCATAATTTAGTCGGACGAGAGATAATAAGTTTAACTCACAGAGGAAGTTTAGTATATTCCATTGGTCTTACAAAAAGCCATAGTAACCATATACTACGTACTTTAAAAATTCTGTTTGAGATGATTGGGATGTAATAGAATTGCATAATTTAAAAACATGTATAGGTGTGTTTAATATTTCAAGAAAGGCCTTTAGAATTACGTCTTTTATTTATACATATATAGTAATTAAAAAAAACTAGCTTTCATTTTTATCAGTCGGATATATACCAAGACATAGCTCGAGCTTTCCATTCTGTGCAAAACTAAACATTAAAGGGTCATATTAAGTATTTGGTACTATATACAAATATTAAAATATCTTACACAGATAAATGATTAAATTGTGTAAGATTAAACAGCATGCGCTTTAGATAGCTAGTTTACGACTAGATACGCACGTTGAAAGGAGCACAGCAGCTCACAATATCATATTCAGTTCTTGTGACATCTTATGCTAATTGCCCTTGCAAATTATCAAATTGGATATTGGACAATTTTTACTTCGGTTTGTCCCTAGGTACGTTTAAACAGTATGGAATAGATAAACTATATATTTATTATACATATATAGTCATATACAATACATAGGTATGAGTTGTATTATAACGTGTTTTCCCGTGGGAATGAGATAATCTCTCGCTATAGAAAGGTTCCTATGTCACTCTCCAGCCCTCCACTGTCTCCAGACAAAAAATCACGCCAATCCATAACTCTATTTCGCCGTGAAAGAAGGACAAACAAACAAACTACGTAATTAACTGAATTACTATCAATGATAACTCGTGCTGCCTCTGTGCGAAAATCAAACATTCAATACAGCCAAAAATATTTGCAGAACTTAGGTAGATCTCTGTGTTTAAACCAACAATTATCACAGGTATCTGACTCGAATCAAGCCGCAGATTTAATCAATCGGTATGAATCTTTATTTTGACTTTACAAATGTTTGTCCCAAACTGATTCAGACGACGTTTTATTGACAGGCGCCATAAAGAGCGATGTCTCGACTTTGAATGGGGATGAGGTATCATTATGTAAAGAAATTAGTGTGAATCTGAATTCCTATCTATCTGGAGTAAGTAGTAATATATAAAAACTGTTTCGTCCCAACAACTCTGTTAGACGATGTTTTTTTTTTTCAATAAATTTTCGTTAATACATTTCTCGTTTAGATAATAACAAGCCTAAAATAATCTGAATATATAATTTTGGTACAATCTTGTTTGCGTTGATATAAAAAATATCATGGAATAGTCTCTACTGTCTACCAAAATAAATCATGTCACATGACTTCTAAACCACGTAACAACATTGTAATTGAAGCCAAATATCATACATAACATTTTAACTTGTTTTACTTGTTAATCGAATATATTAATAATAATTTACATTAAGAGAATAAAATTTTGTGCCGAGTGCTCATCGTATGTTTTTCTGGTTAGCACAACCTTTTAAGCTATAGATACAAACTTATAACTATTTTCAATTATGTAGAGACCAATTTACATAGGTTATTAATGAAACTTTTTAATTTTAGAAGTTCATTCAATGTCTTACCGCGCTGATACAAAAATATCTAACCGCGCTGACGTAGAATACGCATATTTTAAAGTATAAATTATGTATTTGGGTAATATTAAAACGACAATATTACTACTGTAATAAATGTGAAAGTTTGTCAGTATTGATGTTTGTTACTTCACGCCAGAACGGCTGAATGGACCTGGATGAAAGATAGATTATAGTCTAGAATAAGACATAGGCTACTTTTTATCCCGGAAAAATATACGATTCCCGAGGGATACATTTGTTTTAGTTCTTCTGCAGGTGAACGCGAGCGAAGCGAGGGTGAGCCGCTAGTAATCTTATAAATTATATCTAAATGTTATAAAGATTAACATGGCCGTAGTAATAATAAAAATATTCTACAAGAAATAAATATAAGACAATGGAAAGTCCCCTCCCATTAACTTGATATTTTCTTAGATTTACGCGAATATTTGAAATTTTACATAAAACTATCTTTCGGATTTTTAACGGTTTTGTTTGTTTGTTTTGAATGCTAAAATTAAATTTAAATCAACAAATAAACAACTAAAATAACTTCTCTAAATTCCACATTAATAGGTAATGTTTTTCCAAACTAACTTTAGCCGCCCTTTACAACGTCAAAGCTGTTACATTTCCAAAACCCCTCCAAATAAAATATATCCAAAGTCTCTATTTTATAAAATTACTAGCGGCTTATACTCGCCTCGCTCTAGCTCTAGAATAACAAAATCAAATCTATCCCACGGGAACCGTGCATTTTTGCGGGATAAAAAGTGGCCTATGTGTTATGCTGATGTATGAGCTATATTATTGTAAAGCTTCATTAATATCCATTCAGTAGTTTTCGTGTGAAAGACTAACAATCATCCATATATTTACACATCCAGACATCCATACATTCTCACAAACTTTCGCATTCATTATAATATTAGTAGAATTCAAAAACTTTTTCGCCATACATTGTAATACGTAATATAAAAAAAATACTCTAAGATTGTCTTTTAACATAACATTTGTAAATTGCAACGATTAGTCTCTATATAAGTACATACTTCCCGTCAACAAAGTATTTCCACTATTCGAGATATTTAAAGTTTACAATTATGATTTTCAATTTTATAGTGTTCAATAAAAGTTAAATGCTAACTACGATACAACTTAAATGCAAATATCAAATATTTACAATTATCGTTAACCATTTACTCTAAGGTAACCTTATGTTTTATTTATACACCTTATTACTATACCTAAACATAATATTTATATATAAAATACATATGTTATATTGCAAAAGTATAATAACTCATACGTTTAGTGCGACCACGATAATCTATACATATAATAAAAGTGTAACTAAGCCGAACCTATACATTAAATATTTTTTGAAAAATCTTATTGAAATAAACATTATTATCGATACAAAGGCCGAATTTATAGTTTTTAGGATTTTTGTCTGTCTGTTACCGCATCACAGAAAAACCACTGGAGGGATTTTGATGAAGTTTGGTATGGTGATAGCTGGTTATCCGGGTCAACATATAGGACACTTTTTACCGCGAGAAAATATCTCATTTCTGAGAAATAAATACAAAAACTGCAATCTAAGAATTTGGTTTTTGGTCATCTGAACGCTGGCGAAGCCGCGGGCAATGCTAGTATTTTATTCAAATAAAAATATTTTATCATGTCTATAATGGGATGATATAAGGTAAATCGAAAAAACTTCACAGTTAAGAACTAACCTGTAGCACTAAATTTGTTAACCATGATCTTATATCTGATGACTCTGTAGTAGTAGCCATTGTCGTTGACATAATATCATCAAATGTAACATAACCAGAAGGAGATATCGTCGCGGTCGGCATAATATCGGTAAACTCGTACCAGCCGTCCGTATAGTCCGTTATATTCATTTTTTTAAAATTCAATAACACTGGCCACTAAAATATTATAATTTATAAAAAAACGACACTACCGTTCGCACCCATCAACAAACTGTCACTTGCACTTGCCGACATCGCAATAGCTGTTTGATAAAGATATATTAAAACATCTGATAATATGATTTCATTATATTCCGACCGGCGATAGCGTGCGACCAATCGCCTGAAGATACGCGCACAAACTACACTAAACATACGTTGTTTTAGAGGAAAACTCGAAGAATAATTTAAGTCAGTGAGTTAACTTGAAGGCTGTTGGGAATTTAAAGCTAGTACTGGGTCGTTTCGAAAGACTATCTAGCTTACTTGTAGAATGTAAACTAGTATGACTTCGTATCACATGTACATATGTATACACTATACCTTATTTGCTTAAGTCAGTGAGGCTCAAAACTATTAAAAACATGAAGTAGCATTCCGAAAAGTTTTTAGTATGTTCGACGACGAAAAATCTTTGAGATTACGACGAATCACAGACGAATCAGCTTTCAATGCCCGAACTTAGAATTAAATTATTATCATACTAGCAGAACCCGCGGCTTCGCTCGCGCTAAATAAAACTACAAAAAAATCTCTATTAAGGTAGTTTCATACAAACTTTCATCCACTATTTTACCCCGTTATAGAATGAATTTCGAAAAATGCTAAAAAATGAATATATTTAATTTTATTGAAGAGCGTTAATAACAAGTTTCAAGTAATTCTGATCATAATTTTTTTTTATTGTATTATAATGTGTTTTACCATGAGAATTAGATAATCTATCTCGGTAAAGTAAGTAGCCTATGTCGCTCTCCAGCCCTCCAACTATCTCCACACAAAAAATCACTCCCATCCGTCACTCCGTTTCGACGTGAAAGAAGGACAAACAAACAAACACACTTTTATATTTATAATATTAGTATGGATTATGCAGATAAATTGTTGTATTGAGCAATTATACAAACATATTAAACGAGGAGCATTATATTGTTCAGGCGCTACTACGCCACCAATTATATGTACATTGTAACGTCCTTGTTAACTCTACTTTTGTGTTCATTTGAAAATACTTCAAGTGTGAAAAACTGATAAGAATGTTTTTAAATAATTCGAGAATATTATCAAACGGGATTATTAAGCCTGTTTGTTAAATTTTCAATGTATAAAACAATTACATATGTATCTTCAATTTGTCACTTAAAAAAAAGGAAAAGGTATCTTATGTTTAAATTAACTAAATTAAAAAGACAAAAGATATAACAAAACTAGGATTGAATATCGGTATCATGGTATAACTTCTGAATTGCTAAACCGATTTGGTTACTGCTTTGATTGCTATTTTATTAAATGTTTGGTAATGGTCTGAATACTGAATAAAGTTTCCAGAGAGAGAATTTATAATATAATGAATATTATATATAAACCTTTTATATAAAAGATCATAGACTTTACTTTGAATAGGACAATGTCTGTTGATCCAATCAAGTAGTCTTTAGTACGAACTGTCTCCAGGTAAGCTTAAAAACTTTTAGTCTATTTCTTGATCTAATAAAAATATATAATTATAATATCCATACTAATATTATAAATGTGAAAGTGTGTTTGTTTGTTTGTCTTTCTATCATGTCGAAAGGGAGTGTCGGATTGGCGTAATTTTTGGTGTGGAGATAGTTAAAGAGCTGGAGAGTGACATAGGCTGCTTTTTATAGCGGGAGATCATCTCATTCCCACGAGAAAACACTTTATAATACAACCCTAAAAAATATTTATGAACAGAATTACATGAAACTTGGTATTAATGCTTTTCAAAAATATTAAATAAATACGTGTTTTAGCATTTTTCGAAATTCATCCCATAAGAGGGTAAAATAGGGGATGGAAGTTTGTATGAAACCTACCTTTTTAGAGTTTTTTCTGTAGTTTTAGCGCGAGCGAAGCCGCGGGTTCCGCTAGAATTTTAATTTATAATACTACTATCAGAATTAGCAACATTCATTGCTATGCAGACGATAGCACTGTGGATGCGCTGTACACTGGCCGCGCTAATATTTCTCGGGAATACGTCGACGAGAGCCGGAACAAACTTGTGTCTGAAGTCGAATCTCTGTTAACCAAAGTCTCGGATTGGGGTCGACTAAACTTAGTCCAATTCAACCCCAAAAAGACACAAGTTTGCGCGTTAACCGCTAAAAAGTCGCCATTTATCGTAGCTCCTCAATTTGAGGACACTCCTCTGTCTCCCACAGCCAGTATCGGAATACTTGGCGTCGACATCTCGAGCAACGTCCAGTTCCGTGGTCAATTGGAAGGTAAGGCCAAACTGGCCTCAAAGAAGCTTGGTGTGCTCAGCAAGGCGAGACAGTACTTCACGTCGCGTCAGCGTCTTATTCTTTATAAGGCGCAAATTCGGCCCCACATGGAGTACTGTTCTCATCTTTGGGCGGGAGCTCCCCAGTACCAGCTACTTCCATTTGACCGCATTCAACGTAGGGCGATTCGAGTTATCGACGATCAAGCTCTCTCCGATCGGCTTGATCCTTTAGCTCTGCGTAGAGATGTTGGATCACTCTGCATCTTCTACCGCATCTATCACGGGGAGTGTTCTGAGGAATTGTTCGGACTGATCCCGGCTGCTGAATTTCACCATCGGACATCGCGCCAAAATAGTAAATTCCATCCACACCATCTCGATGTCCAGCGTTCCACAACAGTGCGATTTTTAAGGCATTTTCTGCCCCGCACAACCACTCTGTGGAACCAGCTATCGCCGGCGGTCTTTCCGAACCGCTACGACCTGGCCACCTTCAAGAAGAGAGCGTATTCCTTTCTTAAAGGCCGGCAACGCGTCTGCAAGCCCTGCGGTGTTGCAGATGTCCATGGGCGGCGGTGATCACTTTTCATCAGGTGAGCCTCCTGCCCGTTTGCCCCCTTAGTCCCATAAAAAAAAAAAAAAAACATAAGGCGGAATCAAACAACAATTTAAATATCGAGTTTTAAAAACAAATGTCACGTTCTTTAAGCGATTATTTTCACTTTCTACGATGTCGCGTTGCAAGAAATACATGATAAGTCTGCGCAAAATTTTACGTAAACCTAATTAAATTTGTAATTCAGGTTTTTTAATAATGAAAAAGGAAATATAATATGATTTCTCTCAATGATTTTGGAATTAGCGACTTCGATCAACAATACTACTGTTGATCGAAGATTAGCGACAAAGAAATACACTACAAAATATTCGATCAAACTTCAGTATGAAATAGAAAAAATCGGTCAAATGCGATTCTAATTCGCACTCAAAAGGTTCCGTACTATCTTTTTGACTTTTACTCAATGTATGTAGTATATTAACTTCGATGATCGATTATGAACGTTAAAAATGTTTCTTATATTATTTATTTTTATTATTAGTTATTATAGAGGTAATAGAAATACATACTCTTTGAAAATTTCAACTCTCTTCCTATTACGGTTCACGAGTTGCAGCCCTCTGACAGACGGACGGACAGCGGAGGATTAGTAATATGTTTCCGTTGGCACTCTTCGGGTACGGAACCCTAAAATGACTTGTACAGTAATAATTAAATGAACATTTGTTTTGTGTATTTGTCTATACTAATATTATAAAGAGGTTAAGTTTGTGAGTTTGTGACGTTGTACGGGGTAATCTCTAGATCTACTGAACCGATTTAGATGGAATTTAGTAAGAAGATAATTTTAGACCCTGGCAAGGACATAGGATACTTTTTATCCCGGAAATCATCCCTTAAGGGGGTGAAAATAGGGATAAAAGTTTGCATGGGGACTCAAGCTAGGAACGAACCCGAGCGAAGCGAGGGTGAGTCGATAATCTACACATATGTATAATAAAATTCTGAGTCGAATTTGTACATTAAATATTTTTTGAAAAATCTTAGTGAAATAGTCATTATTATAGTTCTGTATCTATAAGATACAGAAGCGGAATCTATAGGTTTTTAGAATTTTTGTCTATCTGTCAGTCTCTCTGTGACCATATCACGAGAAAACTACTAGACAGATTTTGATGAAATTAGTATGATGATAGCTGGTTATCTGGGTCAACATATAGATACATTTTAATGCGGGAAAATATCTCATATCTGAGAAATGTAACATTCAGCGTAATTCTAGGGCTTTCTGGAGGTTTCTTAAAGAAAAGAAACAGAATACTTCTATACCTAGTCTAGTCTATCGTAATAGCGAATCAGCATCAAGTAACATTGATATTGCAAATTTATTTGCTGAACAATTTGAGTCTACGTTTTATACTTCAAACGATAGTATAGTTCGTGTATTTACAACTCCTTCACCGCTTTGTGACACTCTATCCAGGATAAATTTTGATGAAAAAATTATATTAAATAAATTAAAAAAACTGGATATATATAAAGCTTGTGGTCCAGATGGAATTCCAGGTGTATTTATAAAAAGGTGTGCGAAGGTTCTTGCTCTACCATTGAAATTGATTTTTAATCGATCTCTCGAAACGGGAACTTTTCCAACCGAATGGAAAAAAGCGAGGATGGTTCCAGTTTACAAGAAGGAAGATGTTGCAAATGTTGCTAATTACAGACCAATATCAATGTTGTCAATTTTTGGGAAAGTATTTGAATCTTTAGTCTGTCCCATTTTGGTAGAACACACAAAGAATCTAGTTTCAGATAGACAACATGGTTTTCAAAGTAAAAAATCTGTAATCAGCAACATGTTAAATTACGTTACCAGCTTGAATAGTTCTCTTGATGAGGGGATTGAGGTCCATTCTGTGTATACGGACTTTAGTAATGCATTCGACAGGGTAAATCATAAAATTCTTCTCGTTAAATTACAATATTTTTATGGCATAAGTGGGCATATCTTATCATGGTTTAGTTCTTATTTAAACGGGAGAGTTCAATATGTAGTGGTCAAGGGATATGAGTCACGTTGGTACAAAGCAGTATCGGGTGTGCCTCAAGGCTCTCACT